CGCCGCGGGAGCTCGTTACACAAATTAGCAGCGCGTTACGTAAGCTCGCCGATCTGCGTTTAAAGCGGCCGCGCCGGGCGGCTAGGCATGGCCTCATTTTTTATCCTTCGCTTATCTTTTGTTTTAGTGAGCGGACGCGAGCGCGGTCAAGGGTAGCCCCCGAAAGGCGGCACGGGTGAGGGGCGCGAGGTGGGGAGGGGGGGAGGGTCTTTCACCGCCGCCAAATCCTACACGTGTGACTGTGTCGCTCCGCGCCTTATGCATGATGAATATTTTCCCACCCCGCCGAAAAGTACCAATAATGTGTATGGAGATGTAGTTATGTACGCACGTAAGAAGTTACACTTCCTTAGCTTAACAAAAGAAAAGATATGATCCGTGTATCACTACTCTTTGTTTGTGAAGTGAAGAGTGTACATATATAAAGCATTTAGTCCTCCGACGCCTGATTAATAAAAAATTCAATCGCATATGACATCATAATCAATAGTGCATTGAAGGATTCACTCACGCATTTTTGCCTCTCCTGTAAAATTTGCCATTTTTCACATAATGCTGTTTACCACTGAGGTATGGGTTTTTCTCCAAACCCACCAAAAGAAGTATAACTTCAAAAATATACCTAAATATGCTCAAACAACTTTTAATTCTTACGGGGCATACAAGAATATGTAATGCTACTCAGTTTACACCAAACATGAAGCGCTTAGTGTTTATATATCTATAATATGTATTTCTTTACAAAAGAAAAGTATGTTTAAGTATGTTTATCAGTTTTCTAGTACCCTTAGTACAAGCGTTGCTTAGTTTGGGACTAGAAAATTTTGTGTAAAAATGTGTCCTAAAATATTTATTTATTATTTATTTATTAGTAGAAAAACTATAATAAATAGGTAAAAAGGGCGTGTGACTATAAAACAATGTGCCATCTCACTGTATGTGTTGTGGGAAGCGGACGAGATCATAGTCGACGTAATGCAAATATTTCAATCGGCCACGTGTGAAAACCATTGAGCCGTGATAGCTCAGTGTCCGGGCGCTCGCCTTTAATTCAATATACTCCAGCAACCTGAGTTCGATCCCCGGTGCCGGCACCAATGAAGTTTTTAACTTTTAAGTGCTGACTTATCACGTGCTCCGCGGCGAAGGAAAACATCGTGGGGAAACCTGCACTTTTTCGAAATAATAAGTCGAATATTCGAAAGAATAAGTCCGCCAATGGGGCCGCGTGGTGGACTATGCCCTGATACCCTCTGTATAGAGCTGTTACTTTATTTTTTTTACGTGTGAAAAGCCGTATTGCAGTTATGATACTAGTGTATTTTGTTTTGGTCAACAATTTTGTGAGGATTATCCTGTGATTGCATTCAATGATTTTGATCGCATCGTTTGAGCCGTTCATAACCAAAAGTCCCTTTTGCAGACGTAGTATACACCTGATGTATTATTTAAGAATCACTACTTCTTCCGCAACTTGTTTAGATAACATATTTACAAACTGTAACCCAATTAACAAGTCTATTATTAATATATTTACTTCAGACCATTGCGGACAACTTGCCACTTTTAAATCATATATAAAAAATAGTAGTGCCAAGGTACAAAAAATAATGGTTGTTCCTGTAAATAGAACTCGGGTTGAAAAGTTTAGAAATAATATAACAAAAAAGCTGACGTATCTACCTTATAATGATAGCCCCAATGCACTTTACAACATATTATTTCATTTAATTAAAGTGGAATTTAATACTATATTTACTCCTAAGACAGTCAAACCTAAAAGCTCTGTAGTTTTCAATGAATGGGCAACAGTCGGAATTCATAATAGTAGACGTAGATTGTATGAACTTTATAGTGAAAGGACATACAATCATAGTCAATGTTTTTGTTTCTTATGTTAGTGCCTACTCTAAAATATTTAAAAAAGCTTGTTATACTGCTAAATCTCTATATATTAGGAATAAAATAAAAAATGAACCTGATAGAATCAAAATGACTTGGAAAATAATTAATAGCGAAACGGGAAGAGTCACAAAGCGCAAATCTGACCTAATGTTAACTAATGATAATAATTCTATTAACTCAAATCAACAGGCTGCTACTTTCTTCGAGAAATTTTTCGTTGACATTCCAGTTTCAACAACCAAGTCACTTCTTTCCTCACCGACAGTTGCTGAGTCATTACTAAAAAAGAATGTTATGGAATGTAAAGTCAACTTTAAATTTACTACTGTAAACAAGACAGAAATTGTTAAAACTTTAGATGTTAAAAGAACTGCAGATCTATGGGGGAATTCGGTTAAGGTGATCAGTTCTATTATTGATGTAATATCACCTTACCTAGCAACTATTTTTAATATTTGTATCAATCGTGGCGAATTTCCTGACCTTATGAAACATAGTAAAATCATTCCGGTGTTTAAATCTGGTAGTACTTCCGACCCCAATAATTTTAGACCTATCTCTGTACTGCCAACTCTTAGTAAAATTTTTGAAAAAATCATGTTGAATCAAATGTTACAGCATTTTAGCTCTCATAATTTATTACATAACAAGCAATATGGGTTGTTTACTAGGGGTCGCTCAACAACTGATGCGGGTGTTCAGCTCGTTATGAATATTTTTGAAGCCTGGGAAAAGTCGCAGGATGCCTTAGGAATATTCTGTGACTTAACCAAAGCTTTCGATTGTGTACAGCATGAGACCTTGGTCAGGAAACTACGCCACTACGGTATAAGAGATGCCGCACTCAATCTTCAGAAATCGTACTTGAGCCATCGAATTCAGAGAGTTGACGTGAATGGCAAGAGATCTCCCGGGGCCTTGGTAAATATGGGAGTCCCGCAGGGATCTATTCTTGGGCCTTTTCTCTTCCTCATTTACATAAATGATCTACCTTATCTTGTTAATAATAATCATGAGATAGTATTGTTTGCGGATGATACGTCTTTAATCTTTAAAGTAAACCGACGTTCTTTAAGTTATGACGATGTAAACAATACTCTATCTACTGTAGTACATTGGTTTAGTGCTAACAATTTACTGTTGAATAATAAAAAAACTAAATGTATTAAATTTACAACTTCCTCCAATGTTAAACATGTAAAAACTGATGTACTTTTATATGGGGAAGCGTTGGACCCTATTGACTCAACTGTATTCCTTGGCATAACTATTGATGCCAAACTGCAATGGGGCCCCCATATTAATAGACTGGCGAGTAGACTTAGCTCAGCAGCTTTCGCGGTCAAAAAAATAAGACAGTTAACTGATGTTTGATACGGCTCGCTTGGTATATTTTAGTTATTTTCACAGTATAATGTCTTATGGCATTCTGCTTTGGGGTAACGCGGCCGACATTAATACAATCTTTATCTTTCAAAAGAGAGCTATTCGTGCAGTTTACAATCTGGGCCCCAAAGAATCGTTAAGAAACTTGTTTAAAGAGATAAAGGTATTGACTGTTGCTGCTCAATACATTTTTGAAAATGTTTTGTATGTCCATAAAAATAAGGATAAATTTTTAAGACATAATAATGTTCATGATATAAATACTAGGAACAAAAATAAATTGATCCTACCCACAAGTAGTCCGTAAAATAAGTAAATCTTTTATGGGACAATGTATACGTTATTACAACAAAATTCCAGAAAACGTTCAAAATGCATCAATAGCTAAATTTAAAAAAATAGTAAAAGAACGTTTGTGTGTTAAAGGCTACTATAATATTAATGATTATTTAAATGATAACACATTCTGGTAATGAACTGATCGCTCCAGGCTCCTTCAATCGGAGTTCTTATATTGTATTTTAACGAATTTATGTCAAACTGCTTATTTAAAAAAAAAAAAGCCCGCTGAGTTTCTTTCGCCGGTTCTTCTCAGTACAGTGGCTTTCTTTTCCGAACCGGTGGTAGTGTCTTGACTATCAATAAGTGAGTGTAATGCTCCTATGTTGAATAAATACATTTGATTTTGATTTTGTAATTAAATACATATATGGAAAAAATCTAATGACTCCCAGTATTTTTATGTGAAACGTTGACGAGCGAGTAGGCGGTTCACCTGATGTTAAGTGATTACCGTCGCCCAACGACATGGTACAACACAAGAGAGGTTGCAGAGGTGTAGCTCACGGGAGTAACCTCGCAACCCTGGCGAAGCGTGAATGTATAATGCTTTCACTCACGTCGGTCTTCTCGGTGGCCGTGTCTTTTCCCAGGAATAGCGTGTACATTACCGCGCCAGAAAAAGATTTCAGTAGAAATCTGTTGTAATGTTTCTGCTCTCTTTGAAAATAACTGTAGGGCTAAAAACTGTGAAGTATTGTCACGTTTCAAAAAATCGGTCACTTTTATATTTTTTATTTGAATTCGACTCGTCCTCTTGGAAATCGTAACGTCAACGTCGTCAATACTCTTAGCGAGTGAAATAAATGCCCGCCTGCATAAATTCAACTGTAAGAGGTTGACCGCCAAAGAAAGAAAGTGCCCAGACTTAACGTAGAACCCGAATGAACAGTACACTGCATATATTTTTAACACATAATTAGTTCATGTGATAAGTAAATTGAATATTAATATATGCAAAGTATTGAAAGATGACTACTTTTCACGGTTTTGTTGCAATTAACGTCGCCTTACTGTCGATTGTAATACTTGAATAAAAAGAGTCATGTCTGTTGTATGAGGCCCTACTTAAATATTTTTTATCGTTTTTTAGTATTTTATTTATTAGTATTTGGTAACGGAAATACATCATCTGTGAGGAATTTTCACAAATGATGTATTTCCGTTGCCGCTGTCTAACTGCCACGGTTCATGAGATACAGCCTGGTGCCAGACGGATAGACAGACAGCGGAGTCTCAGTAATAGGGTTCCGTTTTACGCTTGGGTACGGAACCCTTAAAAGGAGGATATATATTTACATTTCATTGTTAACAACACATAAATAAATTGGCTAATCGGAGTACATTTATCCCGTTCTGAGTGGAATTCATTTGGATTGGTACCGGAGGCTCAAATGCAGGTAGCCGGGCCGCCGCGCGTTGGTTAGGGCGTCAGTCCGCATGTGTCCGACGCTTGGCCGCCGGCGATATCGATTATTCCTCCCGCCGGACAAAGGCGAGGCCGAGTGGGCGACGCTGATGTATCCGCCGAGAGCTCGGCGTGATTGATGCGAGCCATCCGTGCGCTGGAAACAAAGAGCCCTGGAACCATCGCCGACGCACGCAAAAGGGGCGGAAGTCTCGAGCTGACTGTTCACGGAACGACAAGCCACTTGGATGTAGTAGTACAAGTTACACCTCGAACTATGAACACTTATAGGACATTGAGTGACACTAAACACATTTTATTCATAGCGTTGCTCGCTGTTATAACTTTACGACACACCAATTCAACCGATCGCAAAATTGATAGTTGTGTGAGAACGCCAATAGTGGAATTTATTTATAATAGTCTATAATGCTCTAACTCTTGATATTTAAAAATTTTGACTCCGATAACGATAGCACCGGTTCATGTTTGTCCCAAAATTGTTGTACGACATATCTCGTTAGCTTGCGTGGCTTAGAAAAGTTAACATGCGTAAACTTTTGGCCATTCCACTTAGTAGACTGTCTTGAGAGCTCTCTCATGGTATGGTGAATAGAAAAAGCCATCCGAATGTTGTTCATAATTAATTGGCAACGTACTGAATAGCGGACCGTGCACGTACCCGACGTGCTCGGTCTACTCGTACATGTGCCGGGGATCCGCACTTGTGTGGAGGCGAAAAGGGTGTGTCGCAATCGTTCCCCGTTCTGCCCCGCCCCAACTCTAGGATACTAATTAAAGCGCTGAAATCTTAGTTGAAACAAGAGGAATGCAGAAAGTTCTTCCGCACGAAAATTCACGAAATCCTTTCTTTTTTTCAGTTGGTCGAATTTAATTTCTGGTCTATTTTGCGTTTAAAAATATACATTTACAACTTTCTAGGTTAATGCTCAAATTAAAAATATAGTTATTATCATCTCAGCATGAAGTAGAAATATACTAACCTAGAAATGATAAAGTTGCAAATTATACTTAATCAGTCTAGCCTGCCGTTGAAGTTTATTTTATATACTTAAAATTAGATTTATCTGCTCTATAAAGCATGAGACGCCGTTACATCGCTTTATGAGTCATCTGAACGCCCGATCACATTTCTTCATTTATTACGTTTAGTTTGATGCAAGGTGATAGATGAAAAGATTCGCAATTTTATAGTGACGTTTGTAGTAAAGAAAACTTTGAAGGCACTAGAAATTTAAAATATTATATTTCAAAGACATCGACAATTTGAAGTGACCTGAAGACAAACTGGTATGTAAATCAAAAGGAAATTTGTTCACTTTAAGTAAATATTATTAAATATAAAACAAACATGAGACCATAGTATTTCATAAAAAAAAGTGCCAAGAGTTGTATACAATATTTTGGAAGACGTCAACCTTTTCCCTTAATTTCACAGTGTACCCACAGCATTAGCCTCCATTAGCAAGAGGCCTATTTGCCCGCGAGGCGGCCCATACGTGCATCTGGAGCGAGGGACACGCGTCCCGCCGGCCGACTCGTAAACATTCAATCGCATAATTTATTCAATTCCACCGCTCTCAATCAAGTTTTATTATCTCGCTCACTCGCGTACATCAATAAACGCTCCGAGTGTGTTAAGTGTAACAATGTACTTGTTTTGTTTACTATTAAGTCGGGTAGTGGCGGGTGTCGGTAATAATTCAAGTGAGTTTTATGAATGGAGCCCGCGCGGCGCGCCGTAAATGTTTATTGCGGCATAATGCGTCCAGAGCGGGCGCGGCGGGCGCGGGTAGGCGCGATCAGCTGTTGCCTAGGTGGTTTCCGATTCTACCGTCGTACCGACTCGCGGCGATCCCGTTTATTGGTTTCTACGGACTACGGAGCAGTCGCGCGGCCGCGCTTTATTGCCATTGTCTTTTTTATTTAGACGCGCGAACACGTGCTAGCGCCGTTTGATGTTGTTACACGTCAATCGCTTCCAATTGAACTGCGTGCAAGATTGAATGGTGTTGTAGCGTTTCTTTTAGCACTTGTACATGTGCACGCCGGGTTCACAATGGAGATTTAAGGATGAACGCCTTGGAAATATTTCACTTAGTGTCGCGTTCGCTTCGAAAAACCCTTTTTTGTGCTTTTGTTTCTGCCGATACTGGTCGTTTTAAATTTTGTCTGGCGTTACAGGTAATAATTAAAATATTTGTAATTGTTTCCTAATCCGGTATGTATTTAAAACAAGTGATTGCATTCTATTTTATTGGAATACGTAAGGTACTTTCCTACACAGGATTTATTCTTAATGTTCATTACTGATTAATTAATTTTAGAAAAAATAATTTCTAGTCTTGCCAATAGAAATTTAACAAACTAATTGTACGGATTCAGGTGCATATTGAAATTCTTATTTTTGAACTTATTATTATTAATAACTAGCTGCTGCCCGCGACTACGTCTGCGTAGAATAGGCTGAAGGCGTAACATTCAGACAGAAAGATATACATAAAAAATTATATAAATTATGGCCTATGTGTTATTCTGATGTATAAGCTATATTATTGTATAGTTTCATTAAAATCCATTCAGCAGTATTTGCGTGAAAGAGTAACAAACATCCATCCTCATCAACATAGAAAGGATGAAAAGCGTTCACATTATAAAAAGAGAAACGGTAGGACCTGTTCACCTTTGAGTCATTAGATTCTGGAGCAGACCACATTGCCTTCCCCGATGGACGACATAATCGCACACCTAAACGAAAACTGCTTTTGGTGGGAATTATCGCACTGTGCCCTGATCGAAGTCGGTCAGGAGAGCGCTATTTCGCACGCTTGACCACCGCGTGTGCAATAAAGGCTTGCTGAGAGCTGTTTCGCAGATATTCGTGTTGCCAAACCCGTTCCTAGCGTCTCTGGCGGACCGCTAACGCAATTAGTATTCGCCCATTAATCTGTCTACTAGTTTTTATAACAGCGGTTTTCGTAGCCCGTTTTTATCTAAGGAGTTTGCTTTTACGACTTAAGGCGCTCGCTACCAGTACGTGTTTTAAATACACAAACCGAAGTGGTAATCATTTTATTAAGTGTGCAAGAGCGGGATATGCTGTACTCTCGCATGGTACAAGTGGAAAGCAACAAAAATTGTAACCATTTTTGTTGCTTTCCACTTGTACCATGATTGATACCAACGTACAAAACCAAGTCTCTAATTATTTATAATGATCGATTAAGCAGCTATTCTGGTCTCTTGCATGTCGATTGGTGGCATCTTGCTATGAGTGATATTTTCTTTACTTTTCGCGGACTTTACACATCCTATGCTTGTCATGCGTGCGATGGTTGCTCGATGGGAATGTCTGATTAGAGCCGCTGAATAACATAATGCGCAGCGTGACTTGAGCGGTCGTCGATTGTAATCGTGAGGAGCCGCGAGCAACACAGAGTACTACATTAGTACATTGTGTACGTACTGCGGTTGCATCGCCGTCCTATTAGAAGAGGGTCCTTTTTCGGTTGTGATCCCTTGAACCGCTTTGCCACTTCTGCTAATAAAACACTGATTCTTATAAGATCAAGTAAAAAAACCTACAGTATTAAAATAACTTAATTCCTTATACCACTTATGACTAGGGTTGCAATACTATTGAGCCCATTTAAGTAGGCACAATGTTACATGTAAAAATTCGTTACCATTTTGCTACATCTAGTCTTATACAGTAAGTTTAATGTTTTATGTCATTGTTATTGATTTAAAAATCTAATATTGCTTGTGAATATTAAAATGAATATAGGTAATAAGAAAAACTACTATGGTCCTGATGTATATAATATTTTGGAAAGTAAGAAGATTAAACTCTTTAAAACTATAACTAAATACAGCGTATCCAGATTATGGAAAAAAATGACTAAAATATATACGAAAAAGATGTATCCGATGGTATTTTAAAGTCTAACCGGAAGGTTGCTGCCGTAACGGAAAGTGCCTGGACAGGAAGACAGCCAGACAGAGTAATTTGTATTCTTTTTTAATCTTGAGCCACGAATCTCTACTAAATATTCACCTTAAAAGAATGGACGCACTTTCGAAACCGAAAAAATTGATCGATACATTTGCTATACAGAGCCTTTCTTTGTTGCGATTGAAATATATAAGAATGTTATAAGATTAGTAGGAAGGTAAAATTCGAGGTTTCCGTCTAAAGGGGAGAAATTAATTAATAATTCAAGTTACCAATTCTAAGCACAAGTGCATTATTTAGATAAAATTCCGCATGTCGGCAAAAATAGTGTACAGTGTAATCGAATGACAATTGCACATAAAGCTCCATAGGATAGCTCCCTTTCTATAATTATCATCACAGATTTTGGTGAATATATAATTATCCTTTGAGGTTTCCATAATAGATAATTAAAACTTAGCAATATATTGTACTTAGCCTTCCTTTTTTTGTATTGGGGTAATCTTCAAAATATACCCCATCTCCTAATGAAAAAGGGTTATGTCTCACCCACTATAACTTGGCTACCTTCGGTACTTTAGGGAGGGCTCTGGAATCTTCTACAAACGCACGCTACCGAAATAATCACCCTTTTAGTCGCCTTTTACGTAGACAGGGGATATCTTAGCACTATTTTATGAGCCCAGGACCACAGCCTACTGTAAAGTTGCGTGTCTTTAGGCGATATTTGCACGCTTTAGAATCCGCACCCCAATTTTGTGCGAAAAGTTTGCCTGGTTTTAATTTCTTTTATGCTTACCAATTGTAATACTTAACGCACTTTCTTGTATGCAGCTTGCAATGAAAACTTTACACCTTCACTGAATTAAAATTAGAAGTACCCGAATCGTTACGGCCGCATTCCATTTGTCGGTATCACAAACGCGCCAACAAATGTGTTGTATATAAAGTCTCGCTTTGGTAAGACCGCGCAGCAACTGCCGCTGTGGCACTAAAGTCGAAGTATCATGACCTCACAGAAGACCGCTAGAAAGTAGAAGTATTACAACTTTTGCGTTTCTAACACTGAGGAGCCAACTGTTTTTATAAGGCTAGCAAGATATCTGCAATCTTAGGAATGTTGTAGATGCCCATTGACTGCAGTAATCACTGAACATCAAATCGCTTGTTCCTTCTGCTAGTTTGCAATCTTCTAACAAAAAAGAAACTATGATTATAACCATCGTGTACTAATTGAAAACAATAAATTCACTCACTTTAAGTTGCAAATTTTTATAGATGTATGAACAAGATATTATAGTTTAGTTTGATCCTTAAACTTTAAAAAAATTAATGTGTGTCAGTAGATACATCGGTAAAAACCATTTTTAATACGCCGTTATTCATTTTCTTTAGTGAGGCGGATGAACTGTGTGTCAGCTATAGATAAAATGGGAGCAAATAAAGTTATTAAATAGGAACTATGTAAAAACTGTAATTCCAACATTGTTTACTAATTAATTAAATGTTTGATTTCTTGAGTTTTCTAAAATCAAACAATTTTTTCTTTATATTTTCTCTCCAGTGACTATGGATCGGAAAAAATTCCGTAAAATAACTTTTATTTAACTATTAACTAAGTGATTGCGGATTTGTTAAATAATAATAATAAATATTTTAAGACACATATTTACTTGGAATGTCGTTTGATCTACAATGTATTTTCCTTTTTGTTCGATGACCTTTTGCCACTCTGAAAACGTAAAATTCCTAGAAAGTCCTTTTCGGCCAAACACTGAGTTTAGTGAGATTTTACAGCGTCGTCATCATTGAAAGTTTTACCACGAAGGGAGTTGTCCAAGGATCGAAATAACTGGTAATCCGATGGCGCGGGATCAGGGCTATATGGTGGATGTAACACCAATTCCCGAAATATTAAAACAAATTTTTTAGGATTCACTAAACTATACTTGTGTCGATTCACTCGTGAAAATGCTTGCCTGTAGGACAATGATTGTTAAATAATGGATTTATTTTGAAGAAAGTACACAGTACGAGTTTAGAGTTTAGATGGCATTAAACATGCAGTACCTAACAGGTAACAACTCAGCCGAATGCTGCTGGCTACAGCGTTGATCTGTATCTGCAGGCAAGAGTCGAGTCGCGGGTGAAAACGATCGTTGCTTTCTAAATGCACGCAAGTCCAGACGGACTACGAATGGACTTGCGCGAGTAAGGCGACTTTAACAGTACCTACGCCAATTTCGATGCGAGGAATAAAGCGTACAACTTTTCGATACTTTCAATATCAGTAATGTAACCAATTATTTAGGACATTATGAGCACAATTTTTTTTTGTGTCTTTATTTAGATCTTTCGCACTTTTTTTACGTATTCGCTTTATAGCAGAATGGTTTTGGTCTTATTTTCTTGTTATATTGTAGATAGAATAATCGCTTAAAACCAAATTAGTGCCTGTTGAAATAATTTTGCTAATATGCATTGGAATTTATACAAAAATTTATAAATGTGTAAATGTGAGATACCTATGGATTTTTAAACCGCGTAGGTACCTACGTAACTGTAGCGTTGGTATAGGTATGCAGTGAGTGACACGGTGCTATCTGCATTGTTTCCCCGCATGCACCATTAAGTCAGCCGAGGGCGATGCATTCGGCCCATAAAGCCCGCTCGCTCGCAGCCGCAAGCCGGAGCTCCGAGCCGCGCGCACTGCGCCGCGTAGCGTAACGCACCGGCGGCGACGCAACGCCCCGCGTCCAATGGACGCCCCGCCGCCCTAATTGCGGCCCGCCGGGGTTAATTGGGGCCCTCCGTGCCCACCAGCCCCGAACGCTGTAGAGCTCCTCGATGACGTCACACGCGCGCACTCGCTCGCTCGTGATGATGATGCTGCAGAATTATCATTACAGCACACTTTTGACGGCGCCGATCTCACGATTCGATGTATACAGCAACAGCGGCTGCACGTATAAGTATATAAAGCTAGCACTCATAGAAATTATCTCCATATTTTAATTTTTAATATATATAGAGTACATGATTTTGATGAATAATTTATCTGTGAGCAAGCAAATTATAGCAAGTATGAATTGATCGAAATAAAAGTCTGTTTTCTAGTTGACAAATTGTTTTATTCATATTAACCTTAAATAGTACACCTGGAGATGGCACTTTGACAAATCTAAGCGGAAGGAACTTTTAAAGCCGGCGCGCGGCTCCAGCCTGGAAATCGGATTACGTTTTCAAAGGCTTAGAGCGTTATTTATAGCGAGCGTCTGTTGCGTCAAGCGACGCTCCTTCCTCGGCGTCGGCTGCGCCGGCCTTCGCAGATCGAGGCGCGATAACGCGGGGCGTACGTACGTACACCCATACATAATAGATTTGCACACGGCCTCGGTGCACGTGCGCCGCCGCCGCCGCCGCCGTCGCCGTCGCACACACCGCACGCCGCACGCCACGCACCGCCGCCCGCGGCCCCAGGCCGAACCTGTTTATGCTGACAGGTGACTAATCTCACCTGTGCCGTCGCATGCCCCTTATCGGAGGCGAAAAACGCGAATGACTTAACGCGCCCGCCGCTTTGGCCGCCTCTAATTAAACACCGGGGTGGGGCGGTATAGGACGGCCGCTTACCCTAAGCCCGAGCCCCTCGACGTCGCCTAGAACCAGTCTGATCGATTGCAGCGACGGAAAACTCAATTTACTAAAACTACAATAGTGATAGAATTAAACACGTTCTTCACTTCGGATGCGAATGAGATGGTAAAATTTGCCACGTTATTTGCATCAGCTTCAGTAACTTACGTAATCAGTAATGCGTATCCATTTTACTTAGTTTATCGTTTGCCGTCGACGGATGTATAAAAAAACTAACGAAGCAACTATCGTCTGTCTAATTTTATAACAGGTACCATAATTTCTTCGCACGTGACGTAAGTTTCAGGACAGGTTTTTGGACATTTTATCGATACATCGATGTGCTATATCACCCTTTAGATACAACACTAATATACAAAAAAAGTGTTTTAAATTATTTATCGCGTGTTTACCTTCATTAACGTTTTAGTGACATTATGGAAAAACTAGTTACATTTCTCACTCAGAGATGTTTTGGCTTCCAAATTCTGCAGTTCCAGTTTCAGAACAAATTTATGGTTAAATTTCCATGGTGCACTGCTCGGACTGCGGGCGAGGGCTCACAGCCGCACATTTCTCTAATAGCTAAAGCTAGTCTCACACTTAACTTGGGAAGAACTCAATAAAAAAATTATATTTGAATGAGATAAACGAAACTCACACTTCCATATCATGTATTTTATTGATATTTTTATTCCAGTCCATTGAAAGAATCAAGATGTTGATGTATTGAAGTCGAAATTAATCTAAATTGCGAAGCGCAGAAAAAATTTAAATTAGTGTTTAGTCGAAATCTTGCCGTATATTTAGCAAAGTTTTTATCTAACGGTTTGCATAACTTAAGAATAGACAAGAACAATCTTTAATTTAGCGTTGAAATTAGAAAGGGGGTCGTTACGTTATTCCGTGTACGTGTTAAGAAAGAAAACAGTAGCAGTGGAAGGAAATGCGACAGTTGAAAAAGAAACTGCGTCGCTTTATCTCCTCGCCGGTCGGTGTTGCGCTTCGCGGGTTGAATGCACCTGCGTGTACGTCACCGGTCGATGAGAAACGACCCGATTGTGTTCGTAATTGTACAAAAAACGCGGCGGAGGCTAATTTTTATTATGGAGCAATTAAATTTACGACCGTCGATATCAATGCCAAAGTCGCACGGGTAGTTTTTGTTCACATGGGCCGTCGTGGCACGAGACCGACGAATTTGGGCGCATTTATTTGGGCCGATAGGCAGCATGCGGGTATTCCACTCGGGGGTGGGGGGGGGGGGGTATTATTACGTCCTTGTGACGTGCGTTTTGCGAACCCTTACGCACGAGGCATACGTCTCCTCCGATCACTCATTATGGATCCTAGAATTAACATATAAAAATATGGCGAATCGACCATTGAAAATGCGCCCTTATTGTGTGTGGCATTCGCTTCGCTATTGACGCAGTTTAGGATCACGTGAACCGCCGCGTGTTTGTCGAGAGAGCTCGTGCTGTGTGCTCCTTTAGCAATGGAAGCGGCTTACGGTCGTTGCTTTGGCGGCCGGCAAGGCGTGCGGGGGCGGCGCCACCCCGGGCACTGGCGTTTGCGAAACACGCCAGTGCCCCTGCGGCGGACAATTTCCTTCACGCCCAAATAAACTAGTCGAACGTTTAATGCTAGCTTCTCTTCTGGTGACGTGTTTTTTTTATAATTGCAATTTTAAGACATCTTAGAATATGGCGTCTTTCCCTCCGAATAGAGGGTATGTTTACTTTGCATATGCGTTTGCCTTTTACGACAGCGTCGCCGTCAAGCACTAGGCATTTCCTTATAAAAAATGGGCTTCTAATAAAAAGTGTGAAACGTTTTCCTATATTTAGTCGAATGTCATATATTGATGTAAACTATAATACGGAAGAATCGTGCTTTCCGTTAACATAAATGCTGAAATTTAACACGCAATGAAATTCCCTAAAGTTGATATATTCAAACCTAAGTCTTGCACTATATGCAGTGCTCGTCCTTATTTGTAGAGCGAGTGTTGTGGTATGCCGTTAATGATGTTCGCGCTGTGCGTTGCGCAGGGAGGAGGGCGATGAGAAGCCGAAGCCGACGGAGAGCCAGGACGACGGCTACGAGACGAGCAACAGCGGCGAGGCGGCGCGGCGCAAGGCGTCGAGCGCGGAGGGCTCGCCGGCCGCGCCCCGCTCGCCGCCGCCGGAGCCCGCCTACGAGCCCCTGCTCGCCCGCTTCCCCGAGGCGCCCCCCTACCGCTACGAGCCGCCGCCGCCCCAGCCGCAACCGGAGCCGGAGCCCTACCAGCACTTCCCCTTCCCCAAGTACCCGGAGCCCTACGGCTACAAGCGCGAGCCCGAGGCGCCGTACGACATGAGCCAGCAGCACGCGCTGCACTACGCCGCCGCGCACAAGCGCGACGAGACGCGTACAACGGCGTCAAGCGCGAGTGCGAGGACCCCTACTCGTTCGTGGAGGAGGAGGCGATGTGCGCGATGCTCGGCCAGCCGCCGCCCCACCTCACCGCGCACGACCACCCCCACGCACACATGCACCCGCACGCGCATCCGCACGCGCACGCCCACCAGCTCATGCTCAGCCAGCCCAAGAAGCGGGGCCGCAAAAAGAAGATCAAAGACGAGAATGGGTGAGTGCAAGCATCGCCTTCCTTACCTTTCTTTAGCTGACAAAAATATTGGTCGATTCGAATCACGTGTGGGACTTGTTTGATTTTTAAACTTCCCTGATGTTGTGTGTATCAATACGCTCTGATCTTTACCATCGTGCTAGCCTCTTGCACGTTGTCATTTACTCCATAAAAAAGGGTGTTGATGTAATGCAAATTAAGTGTTTGTGCAATACCATAATATATTATGGTATGGTAGGCCTTTATAGTCCCCGAGAACTAAAAATTTGATGATCCCGAAAAGGAGTGATACTCACGTATACGAAATATCATAATTTTTGTTCTAGTAAGAATTTTTTGGGATATGTTCTTTAGGTCAACAAGCGAGCCTTAAACGCTCGAAGGTTTTCTATTCGAAAGCTATTCAAAATATGCCACGTAATCGCTAGAAAACGCCACGCACGCTACACTGCTCACCTTCGACCATCACGATTGTGAAGAGCGCGGGGGCAGAAAGAGCCGCGCACAGCCATTATGTTAATTTCACAGCTAAGCGGAGTGCTGTGCGCAATCGATCCCGGTGACTCAACGGCCGCGCGAAAGCACATAGCGCGGCGTTGCGTAACCTTTCTATGTATCTATGAGTGCATGTACTGTACAGTATATAGCAGTGTTGGTATGTAGCCACTAGAGCCCCGCTCCGGCGAGTGATTAGCCCCCGGGGCTCCCCCATGCATCGCCGCCCGTAATTGGGGCTCCGGCACTCGTTGTACGCAATTTGAAAGCGTTGCACGGCTGCCCCGATGCGACGGCGGATGGCGTGCCGTAAGGGCGCCGGCACAACTTGTCAGATCGATGCGATCGCTGTTCGCGCAACGGCCCCTATCCGATGGCGTGCCGCCTTAATTCAAACTGAGGCAACAACGAACGAAACGAGCTCTCACTCCCATTTACCCTAACGAGGTGGACAGAGTTAGCCAATGCACACGCGCCTTTGAACCATATATTTATCGGTTCCCGAAGTCTAGTCCAAATGTGAGACTAAGATTTATGCACGACGAAAAAGCCGTTGGCGCTCGCCACTGAGCTCCCCGCCTTAAGATCCGAGGACTGAGGACCCATCCACTGAAGGGAATAGCGAAATGCTTCGCGTGTTGAGCCGAGCTTCGGAAGGATAATGCTCCCGGGCCACTGACCCCGCGCTCGATTTAGAGACACCACGTCTGCTCACACCCCGCGCCTCGCCTAAAAAATCCGTTGACACTAAACCATAGAAACCCGCTTTCGGCGCAATTCTATATATGGCGCCGTTGTGAGAGACTCGTCCTTCGAACTCAAAACTCATTTCTTTGGTTTTTATTCCGTAGATTTCTAAATTTTTTTTTGCTCCCTTGCATATCTATTTCTAATGTAGGTTTAGAAGCTGAGATCAGTGGCGAAACGCGATATATATGTTCGCGACAGTGATCTTAAAATAACATTATGGCGAGAATACCGGTTTGCGAAATGTTTGTGTGACCGACGCAGTGAGATACCTGTCTCGAGGCACTGATCATTGGGTTCCTCTTCACGCGCTTTTTTCAACTATTGGAGAGTGGAAACAAGTTTTGCGTATAACATTGCCGTATGCGAGATGAGAGACTCGCAACGTTTTGTCCGTTGGCCATTGCATTTACGATTCACGAATGTTCTCATGGTCGTTAAATATGATAGGAAATACGACTAAAACTTGCTAACGATATCGCCATTATACGTCCGAAGTCTGACCTATTAAATACATTTCTTAGGTTTGCGCTCAAAGCAAAAACATTAAATTATTAACTGTCTAAAAAGACCATGTATACTTTATTTGAATAATTTGTTATCTGTAACTAATTTTTTTTTACCTTTTAAACCATAAAATCTAGAACGTGTATGCATGCTATGCACACACTTAACCCGTTTAATGCTTCATCGAAAATACGAGTTTGGCGGATTTCGTTTGATATTAATATATGAAATTTAAATTTTTATAGTGTTTCATCTCTACACTTTAGATGAAACATGACAATTTTTAAAAAAGGACGAAAAATTTTCGCCGCTGCGGGAATCGAACATACGCCTTTCGGACACTCACCCTTTATCCTTTAACCACTAAGCTAAAGTGTTGATAAATAACACCGACGGAAAATCTCAACGAAAAACTTTTTATCCTTTTTCTACAAATTTTAATACATATTTACATAGTTGGATTATAAGAAGTGTCAAAATTAACTGTTACTAATACTACATTTTTCTTTTAAAACTTTCGCGTTTGAAGCCTTCACGCTTCTCTTGAATTATTCAATCTTGGGCGATGGATGACATTTGAGAAAAAGTTAAAGCATGGTTCACAACTGCTGGAAATTGAAAGGAAATGATCGCACCATAACGCTCACTGAGGTGTCACCTCGGATCGGTGGCGTGCGCAATAAACGTCAACTTTCGGAGCACCCCGTGGCCCACTTTCGAAACAACTCCCAGTTTCCAGTGCAATTTTTAGCAATGCAAACCGTCCAAAAGCCGCGGGCGGCACACTCGTGCGTGTCGGCCGGCGTGTGTGTTTTTTTGCACTTTCATCTAGAGCGGCGTCCACTGTATCGTCCGGTGTTGCCGACGGATTTTTTATGACGCTTCGTCGCAACAGAGGCGGCCCATTGTGCGGACGCGGCCGCGGTTAACTGGAAAAGCGCCGATGCATATGAAAATGTGACGCTGATCGAAAGATGTGTGTGTGTGGATGTGTGTCCGTCAAGAGCGCCCGCGTATTTCCGGCCACCTGCGCGCGTGAGCTCCATTTGAAAATTATTCGCGATGATTGGCAAGGTGTTCTGGCTATACCGGTACTAATTGTAAATAACTAGACCCTTAAACAGGTAAACCATTATATGGCTTATAATCTGCCAATTGCTTAATACAGCAAAAACTTTGATTATTATTATGTCATCATCACTATCATCATTTCAGCCTATTTAAATCCATTGCTGAAGAAAGGCCCCTATGGACTGCCGTGAAGCACGATCCTGGGCCACCTGCATTCATCTATTTCCAGGACACTTTCACAAGTCGACACTCCATCTAGCGGGGGACCGTTCCACACTACGATGGCTAATAAGAGACTCCGCTACCACTCGAGAACAGTACTTTCCAATCGGTTATCGGTTCTTCGAACTATATGGCCGGCCCATTGCCATTTCAGTTTACTAATGCCTTGAGCTAATCTTAATTATATTGATTATTAAATAGCAACTTAGTAGTAGACGTTCCTTACTCTTGCAAGTCTACAATCAAACTAGTAAGAGCTGTTTCTAATATTTGGCGTTGAGCCCACAGCGTTAGTAATGTTTAATAAAAATATTTAATCGCTAAAAATTGCCAAACAAAACAATAACTTACGATTACCATACAAAAATAAGCCTAAACTTACTTAAACCTAAATGTTATTTGAAGGAGTTTTAAGAATCATGTATTAAATAATAGTTATTATTTCTAATGTCCGAAGAAACAAACTAATCGCACTTATTACTCGACATATCTTCCTCCCCTTTGAGGGCTGGCACGGAGCATAGCCGTCGCTTCCACTTCGATAAAAGAAGAGAACACGTGGGCGGTGACAGCTTCGAGACCTGTCGCCCACGTTCTACGCTGACCTGCCATTAAATAACGATTATTGCGACACCCACACCATTACACGACATTTTAAATACGAATTGCACACATAAATGTTATAATTTCATCCGTACGTAAAACTGGTTATTGGATGGGAAGAAAATCCGGTTAAAATCGTCTGAAACGAACAAAAAATAGCGCTGTCGATTGGAACCTCAGAACCCATAAGGCGAGTAAGTCCACCTCGGTGCCTTGGAGCCGTCCATTGTATTCCGTGCCCCTAAAGCCATTCCCCCCCGGACCCGCCCACCGCCACGGACGAACACAGTTTTATGTCGGCTAGCTATGATGTAGCTGGTAGCTATAGTGTATACATTAGATCAGATAGAAGCATTGTGCGTTCGAACCCCGTTTTGGATACAGTAGAGAGATGTATTCTTCATAAGAACGGAATTACAATGTGTCTTCTTGATAATATTAAACAGGCGTTCCCTGAGAACGCTGACAACCTACGATTACTTATATGAAAATATGGATGTTTTGAACATGATTAAGAATAGGTTTTGTAATTAATTAGCAGTTTGGGCTTGATATATTGACCCTCAAACCTGAGGCAAATATTAGGAATTACTCTTAGGCTGGATTTACGTCTAATCATAGAACTTACCCTATTAGGGAGCAGTTTCGCTTGCGTGAATTTTGTGGCTTCTTTAATAAGGACCATACAATATTTATACTTTCGAAGATAGTGTTGGTAGGGATTAAATTAATAAAAAAGCAAGGTGTAAAGGTTTAGAAATTAGGTTTTTTCCGCTTTTGTAATGTTGCGGTAGATTTGTTGCATATTTTATGTATTGGTTGTAATTAAAATGTTTTATTTAAGTTACAAAGTTTGCTTTGTATACTTGGAAAATAAACGAAAACACCACTTTGTAGCTATAGGCAATGAAATAAGCGGTCATTGTCACTCAAACTGGCGCCTAAAGTGCAAATATTAGACTCGATATCAGTCGGTTCGTTTAAAAAGAGAGTAATGAATTGTGTAAACGATCCGAAATCATTGCGTACCGTGTCTCCCGCTTATCCGTGCCTTATCGAGCCGAGCCCGATGTGCCAATGCGAGAGTTGCGCGTCCGGCGTCGTGCGCTTTCCTAATCGACGCGGCCGGAACGCACGCATCGACGACTCTAGTTATCTTACAGATGATCGACGACTGTCCCTGTCGCTGCAAAAGAAAGTAACCCTCTCTGTACTTTACGAGGCTCGCCTCGATTCATAAAGCGTCGTGCGGGGCTGTACCATAGTAAGCGCTGGATAAGCAGTTGTTAAGCATGATGCAACGTCATAAGGATCCAACTAGGTTCGCATCGTAGCTTGTCCGCATTCGGTGGCGTGTGCCTGTGGGTGGCGGTGAGAGCGCGTGGGCGTGTGCCCTCGCCACCAGCGGCCGCCGCGGACAATGCAGCGGCGGGCGTTGTTTACCCGCGTCTATTCCTGTGCCGGAACCGCCCGCCGCCCGCGAGTCCCAGTCGCAGCCGAATTAATCGGATCAAGGTGGAACTGGCCGCGCTAATGGGCGGCGCATTACAATCGCTCGCGCCACGTGCTCAGCGGACTTTTTTTTTCCGTTATTTAAAACTGCTCTCGGCCAGCATTTCCCCCATACCCGCGGCCCGCTAATTGCGCCGATAGAATTATTTATAAACCGGATCGCATTAGCAACACAACGAATCTGCGCGCCGGGCATTGTTTGATATTCGCCTATTCCCGTTTTTTTTTTAATTTCCCGATGGAAACGGCGATTCTGTTTTGAATACTAATGCGCGCCGCTGATAACAGAGCCCCCGATTCACAAACATTGAAATCATCGGAGCATTTTGCGGTTATTTCTTTTTTCAGTGGAAATCTCTTATGTATTTTTTAAACTAACCGGCCAATATGTATTTGAACGGTTTTTTTTTGTATGTGCTAACAAATGTGTAGCGCGTTACCTCCACTTCACATCCACGCCGCTATTATATAAGCACGTGTATACATACATATATGTCACGGGTGTACGTGGGTCAGCGCGGGCTCTGAGCGCGGCAATTGTGGCACGCTCCTCGCCCCTCGCTCCTCGGATTCCGCCCGAGCCGTGCGTAAAGCGGGGGCCGTTACCGTCGCCCGGTGCGCTTTCCACCATAAATCATGGTCCCAAACGAGACACGTAATGTACCTTTAAGTGTCCGCGTTTCCGTGCACCGCTACGAGAATAGATTGGGAAATGGACGCGGGCGGAACGAGCGAGCGAGCGAGCGAACACGAACGTCGACGCGGGTCGATGTTATGGGAGCCGGAGCTCCTCCCGAGGAGGTAGGAACCGACCTGCAGTTCAATTGCGCTCACGAACACTGCGCAGTGTGCTTGGTCCACCACTCAGTGTGCAGAATTCCGTATTCGAGTCTCAAACAAAATATAAAAGCTGCAATTCAATTCCTCGTCTATACTGGAAAGCAGTATTCCGTATTTATAAGATTAGAAGATTCGTTATATAGAACTACTCGGCTTTGTAAACACAGTTGCTCCTCGTTACCATCCTTCAAGGCGACACCAGGAAGAGGAATATTATCAATCAAAATCCTCCGCGCGACAAAATGTCTCTTTGGAACAATTTTGGTCCTCAATCTAATTTGTCCACTTTTAATGACATTCGAATTCGGTCGTCGTTAACGATACATTAATAGGAGTCACTTTTTCGACGACATTAGCCCCGATTTGAGATCGTTTCTATTTTGGACATCGGGATGTTGCCGAGACTATGGAGTCTATAATAGAATATGAGGTCAGATTTCCAAAATAGACATGAAATAGTTGGCCTGATGTGCGCACACACTCACTCTCAGGCCGAATAGCGTCCGCCACCCCGCCTCGGCGTATAAATTGCGCAGTGGTCAGACTGTCCGTCTGTAGCGGCCGCGATAATTCCCCCATTCGTTACGCTACATTAATGCCCGCTCTTGAAGGTTTTAACGCCAGTTTCAGATACACGATCCCTTTGCCGTAAGTGGCGCGGCGAGGCCGAGGTATATCCGAATTCAACCGGTATTTGTGCGACACATGAATTTTGTTTCACGTGTGTGCTTATGGGCGATGCGCTGAGGGTACAGGTGTTCTTGTGGAACGGTGAACAGTTCTTACAGCTCCTTGGTAGTTTACAGCGTAAGCCAAACTGCTTAGGTAGTTTAAGAGTCACAAACAAGATTATATTTGAATCGTGCATTTAGTCAAAAACTAAAAACACGTTCGATTTTTGACATTGTAGACACCCAAGTGAAATTATAAAATTGTTTACATCATACATTCAACCCTATACGAAAATAGTTACAGAGCTACATAAGAAAAAAAGAGTTGTATCAGCAAAAGCGAATAGCAGTGGACGATGGTCCATGTAACTCTGTTACGAAATATTTTTCTCTCTCGTTACGGTCTGTTTTACGCGAACCGCAGTGATCCCATAGCAATTACCGCCTTAGCCTCGTACACAGAATAAGATGGGCAGCCTAATTAGGGCTAGGAGGCCCATCAGTCCTTAATTACTTTACGCTCAGCTACATAAGCAACTAGGTCACGCCGTTGGCTCGGAGCTGTCTATACACTTCGTTGTCCAATCGCTTGTCGGCTTATAAAAAACACACGCGCTCTCCTAACGATGTGCAACAAAAACGCATCGTTCCGAAAGTCTGAATTTCGAGCGGCCATTTTAGTGCCCGCGCGACGGACTGTTCAGCGAGGGTTCTTTTTATTTTCACTAGCAACTAGCGCTAAATACATTTGTTGCGTTGGAAAAAACTGCGACGGCTAATAACTTCCGAAAGACATCTGAGCAGAAAAACACGCACTGAGCTGAATTATCTCGGTTCTGAATGTATAAAGAGGTCATGGCAGGGGAAGACTGATGAAAAGCTTTAAAAATATATTCATACGAAACTAAAGCAAAGTTACGCGATTTTTTTGAAGGAAAATTGAGACAGACCTATACTTTAAATGTTTGAAGACATATCTATACAAACAATTTCACTAATTATAAGTACAATGTTATCACTCTCTACGGCTTGTTTTCACTTAAAATAATTGTCATAGTTAATTAAAAAAAAGGAGAAACAGGGTACACCGTAATGGAAGTCTGTTTTACAACAATGGTTGCGAAAAAATACGCGGGTTACTTTTCCGTGTAGCCACTGGCACTGTCCCAGTTTGATAGAAATATCTTAAAGTATTTGGTCACGCGTAACAATATGAGCTGTTTTTGTGTGTAAAAATGAAATAAAAGTCCTTAAAATTAAGTGGCTCGCAAATAAGTGGGCCTAACGGGTAGACCTATTCCGTCACGTCTCTTAACCGAGATGGGGTCACTCAGAGAAAGCTTGTGCTTACCATGTTCTCACTGAGTTCATTAGGTCCCAAACGTGATAGGTGTTAAGGCCTGTTGCAGAATGCGGGCCGCATTGCTGATTGGATACGATCAATTTTCTCCACGTAAGGTGGGAAGAACGGAAAGTCGTCACCTTTGATTCGAACCCATGACATCTGTGTGTCGATGCTTGAATTTAAAATCGATCGGCAGAGTATGCAGCAAGACGTACAACGCGACGTATTCATTATAATCCACCTAATGCCAACGGATCACTGCGGCCTAGATATCTACACCTAGCTATATTCGAGTGAAATCAGGATACAGCACCCCCTTGACAGCCGAGGCGCCTCGTTACCAGTAATTGGGTTTCCAGTTTCGTAGTTCGCCACACTAAACGTGGCAGCATTATTTTCCTCCTAAACGTTATTCTCCCAACGCCATTTATGAGCTACGGCTTTGATGTTGCCCGCGTGGCTTTAATCGACCTTACTTACGGATGATCGCAGATGTGGCATTATTAAATTATAGAGTTCGATGTTCATATGTTATTGACTTTGCATCGTGAACATTTTGTGCTCAATTCGAACCCGTGCTATGTGGAACACGCAACGACTTAAACCCAATGGTAGACGCCGTTTACTCAATTATGAGGATCACCGGACCCCCTTGTTAGCCATCTTCTCTTTTAATAAAAATGAGAGCTTTTTTTATGTGAAAAGTTGCCAAGCGAACTGGTGGTTCACCTGATGTTAAGTGAATGCCGCCATCCATGGACATCTGCCACATCCGAGGGTTACAGATGCGCTGACAAACTTTTGAAAGTTGGGCTCGGGCCACGTCACTCGCCAGACGAAACGCGGAAGTATTTGTTATACTTCCACTTTACGCCGGTCTTCTGTTTCCGGCGGCAGGATGGAGCTGAAGGCGGAGGGCGTGGAGGGGCTCGTGCGGCCGGTGAAGGAGCGCAAGAAGCACGACCGCTTCAACGGCATGAGCGAGGAGGAGGTGGCGCGCCGCACCCTGCCCGACCACCTCGCCGAGAACCTCGACATCATCATTGTGAGTATGATCGCCACCACTTACTTACTATCATAATAGTAATAATGATCCTATTTATGTATATTTTTATATACTTAAACATACTTTTCTTTTATAAAGGAATACATATTATACATATAGAAACCCAACTCTAGAAAAACACTATGTGCATATACAATATTTTTCCAGTAGCGGGGGATCGAACCCACACCCTCTAGAGCATGAGGCAGGTACATTGTCAACTACGCCATTCGGGTCTTGCATATTTTTTTTTATTGGTCAAGGTGGAAAACAAGCTGGCGGTTGACCCGATTTTAAGTGATAACCGTCGCCTATGGACATTTGCAACACTCGTAGGGTGGCAGGTGCGTTGCCACCTTTTAATAAAGTGGCAACTTGCTAGACTCCTTAGACCTAAAATCGTTGATGCGCGTCGACCACGCGACCTCCTGAAATGGCCTCTACTAATTTTGAATAGTCCTTGATGCTTTTCTATTGTACACGATAATTTATGCATCTGACAAGATCGCGGTGTTTGTAAATTCACAATGAACTGTTTGGCAGTGTCACATCCTAGTTTTTAAATTAACATGACCATATTGATATGAGTTTTGTAAATAGTTACTTTTATTAAATCTACGCTATTGTATAACCATAGAAGGATTTCTTTTAATTCGGAAGATGCATGAGGTTACAAAATTTTATCAATTGTGTATTTTATTTTATGCAGTTTGAAAAGACATCGTAAATGTAATATCGTAAAATATGCTCTATGCAATCACAGAGGAACTGTGTTGTTTGCATTCCCCCAAATGCAAATGTTTGTATGCTGCACGATTAGTGCCCTCGACTGAAGGGCAAAACCGAGATCCGTAACATAGTTTCCTCTTTCGGTATAGTCTAGGCCGTGCGGTCGAATATATCGTAACAAATTTTATTACTTAACAACATTAACTCAGAGCGAATATTAAAGATAATAACGATCCGTCAGCGGCTAACCGTTATAAAGCAAATTGCAGCCCTTAAGCTGTCAAATGTATAATAATTACAAGCGGGCGATATTGAATAAACGTATCGGCTACTGGTAGCCGACTCTTGGGCGTCAATACATCAATCCCGTAATGGCGGCGCTCGAAGCACGTGCGCTCCGCACTAATATATCACGCGGAACGCCGACGCACGCAGCGCGCGCGCACGTACGCACGCACGCCGACGGACGCGGTGGCCGGACCTTTGTTTACGGCCGTACCTGTGTGAATACCGAAGGGCGGACGTGCCAATAGTTAGCGATCGAAGAGCGCCATTTCATGTTTATTAGCCATCTATTATTGCCGTTATTCCAATAAAAATCTGTAAAATAAATACGCCGCTCTCCGTGGACGTAACAATATCTTGATTTATCAGCTAATTCAACAACAATTAATGCGATTTAGCTTGTTTCTCATAAACTACATGGGACAAGTCAACTTTATGTTTCCTATTCTTGAACTTACCTAGCATCGCTATCGACGTTTTTAAATAATATTGAATAAATGTTAAATAAATGTTAAATAAAGCAGTTGGGATTATTTCAAGTAGTGCAAGAAAACTTGAAGCGGTCACAACTAAACGGTTCAAGCACATTTCACGTCGCGTCAGGTATAAAAGAAACGCAGTGAAAAGCGTGTTTTAAGTTTAGCCTTCGCTACGTTCAGTGTTGTGTTGTGTTGTGTTGTGTTGTGTACACTTAGCCGTGCCGGCGGTGATAGGTGCGCCTCTGTCCTCCCCAGATCGGCATCAACCCGGGCCTGTTCGCGGCGTACAAGGGGCACCACTACGCGGGCCCCGGGAACCACTTCTGGAAGTGCCTCTACCTGTCGGGCCTCACGCGCGAGCAGATGAGCGCAGACGAGGACTACAAGGTTGGCCACAACTCAAATTATGACTCATGAACATGTATAATTTTAATTGCATTGTATATTATATTGTAATATTTGTTATAAACATAAAATATCCGCACTTTCTGTACACCACCCTAAAGTTGACTGGTACAAAATGCCTGTAGCATTTAGTTCATCTTTGTTTGTGCATAAAGTTTATATATATATATATAAACTTTATTTTTATTTAAATGTGAAACATTAATATGTGATTTATCTTGCCAGGAGAAAATATAAACCATATAAAAAAATATAAACCTGTGCAAATGTGCTTCACTGTGTGCAAAACTTCGTGGCAGTTCATGGTGGAGACTTATGTTCAGCAGAGGACTCACATAGGCTGAAATGATGATGATGATTAGTATAAATATATAGATAAACGAACGCATAGACTGATATGCAGATTACTCAATATATTTTTCTTCACCACCGCTCATGTGGTCAACCATAAATTAAAACTGCTTTTTATTGTTACTAATCATTACACTTACGCTGGTGTCGCCTCGAACTGGGATTGCTCCCGTACACTGAACTAAAAATGAGCACGCCGTCGATATTATCTGTATTGCTGTCATCTCTCCATCCGCCAGCTGCTGAACTTCGGCATCGGGTTCACGAACATGGTGTCGCGCGCCACCAAGGGCTCAGCGGACCTGACGCGGCGCGAGATCAAGGAGGGCTCCGCGCTGCTGCTGGAGAAGCTGCAGACCTTCCGGCCCAAGGTGGCCGTCTTCAACGGGAAGCTCATCTACGAGGTGTTCTCCGGCAAGAAGGACTTCTGCTTCGGCAAGCAGCCCGACACCATCGCCGGCACCAACACCGTCAGTATCTCCTCGAGCCCCTGTATTCACTGGTAGGACCACTCGGCGGCTTCTGATGTTGCACGAATGGGCAGGCTTCGTTGAAATCCGACGTGAGGTACAAGTATTATTCTTTCTCCTGTCGTCTGCTGAGTGCGGTAACCGAGGCCCTCGAATGTATACGCGGAACCATGTTCGTTTGCCAACTTTTCACATAAAAAAAGACCAACGAAAAATATAAATAAATATATCATTGGTTTGCTAATTTAGATGCATCCATAGACGGAAGCAGCCTTTCGACATATACTTAAATCTCTTTTACACAGTTTGAATATTCGCGTAAAGCGCATTACGCTCAGTAAGCATAAGCATTAAAGTGGCGTCGACTGGGTCGCAGTACACGTGGGTGATGCCGTCGTCGTCGGCGCGCTGCGCGCAGCTGCCCCGCGCCGCCGACAAGGTGCCCTTCTACGCGGCGCTCAAGAAGTTCCGCGACTACCTCAACGGGCTGGTGGCGCACGTGGACGAGGCCGAGCTGGTCTTCCCCGACAACACGAGCCGCCGGCCGCAGGAGGAGATGGAGATACGCAGGTCGGTGCCGCGCCCGCCGGCTGGGCTAGGGCCGCGCAACGGTCTACGCCGTTGCACGGACGTTCTTTGAAGGAATGCAATGCGGCAATTAAAAAGGAAAAGTCGATCCGTAAAGTAACGGGGCCGCCGCGCGTTGCAGACTGACGATGGAGCCGGAGCCCGGCGACACCATCATCCTGGAGGACGGCACGGAGGTGCCCCTGAAGAAGAAGCGCGGGCGGCCCAAGAAGGTGAAGCTGGAGAACGGCGAGACGCCGGCCGCCGCGCCGAGGGCGCCCCGCGCGCCGCGCCCCGCCCCGCCCCCGGCCGCCCCCGACGCGCCCCCAGACCAGCCGCCCAAGAAGAAGCGCGGCCGCCCCAAGAAGATCCGCCCCGAGGAGCAGCAGTTCCTGCTGCAGCAGCAGCAACAACAACAACAGCAGCAGCAGCAGCAGCAGCAACAGCAACAGCAGCAGCAGCAGGTATATTCACATCGTGTTACTTGTTTGAGACTGCATTAATCTGAAGTATTCAGCTGACAGTTATATCGAGCATGTCCACTTTCGCCTTTCACGGGAAATTAAACCAGATAAAATTACCTTCTAGCAAAAATTGTAGAAGCGTTATTAAATGTAAGCTTGTAACTTTACAGAGCAACCCAATGCTGCAGCAGCAGCTCACGCCGATCCCGTCCATGGGGCACGAGCAGCAATTTCTGCAGCACCAGGGCGAGTTCCAGCAGATGCCCTCGCCGCTGGCGCAGAGTTCCCTGCTGTACGGCGTGCAGCACCAGCAGCACCAGCACCAACAGCACCAACAGCACCACCAGCATCAACAGCACCAGGCGATGCCGCCGGACGGTTCGCCATATTATCAGCCACCCAACGCCGGTAAGTTTTTGAAATTAAACTACTTTACGCGCACCGCGCTACTACTTACAGATAGGGTGGATCATCAGATCGCGTGGCGTTATCAAATGTTAAAAAACTTACGTTACGCTTCCCTACTCCCACTCGATTCCGTTCCTTGCTGTACCTACACTAATAACTACACTCTTTTCTGAGTGAGCGCTTCCCTATAACAAATATTGTTGATAACAGTGCACCATTTGCTCGTTCTTTCACTTATTCATTTAAAAAATATTATTTATATTAAAACGGTTATGTGTCATAGATACCACAAACTTACCACAAACCTGTTATTACAGTAATAAAGTATGGTGAACCTATTATATATATTATTAGAAGAATTATTATTAGATAAGAAGAAATGAAAACGATTGTTATAACATACAAATAAATTATACGTCTTTTATAGATTTTATAAATAATGATATCTATCATAATTGATTTTCGTTCTATATAATCAACTAAAAAAAAAGTAAAGTAACAGCCTATACATGTCCCACTGCTGGGCAAAGGCCTCCTCTATATAGAGGGTATCAGGGCATAGTCCACCACGCGGCCCCACTGCGGATTGGCGGACTTCACATATCTTCGAAATATGTTTTTTCTTTGTTATTATTTCGAAAATACGCAGGTTTCCTCACGATGTTTTCCTTCACCGCGGAGCACGTGATATGACAGCACTTAAAGTTAAAAACTTCATTGGTGCCGGCACCGGGGATCGAACTCAGGTTGCTCGAGTATATTAAATTAAAGGCGAGCGCCCGGACACTGAGCTATCACGGCTATAGCCCGGACACTGAGCTATAATCAACTACAAGTATTTTTAATTTTATACCTCGTTTCCATATTAAATGACTGAAGTTACACTTCTGTTCTGTATACCCCGACATAGCTTTCACATAATTATGTAGAATTGGGACCAAGTGATTCCCCTGATTATAAATCATCAAGGCCGATACTGACATCCTAGCATCTGGCGATGCAGTTGCATTAGTATTTAAGATAATGGACATCCTGTTACCTCACTCCCTGCAATACAAAATTGGAAAAATTTTAACTTCACATTTGACGAGTTTTACAGTGAAACTGGTATTTCGTTGGTCTTGCTAGCTTATTAAGGCTGATCTTACTCAACATAGAATATACAGCGTGTCTTTACAATCGCGACAATAAATGAACACACATATAGAGGATAACTTTTTTAAAAGTGTATTAAACATTTACATTCTTTAAACATCAATATTTACAGAGTTATTAAATTTTCCAAAACCAAGAATTTTAGAACATTATACGTAAGGGTATAAAACTGTAACGTAAAGTTCATTTGTAAATGTCACAAAGCATATGAATGGGTTGAATGAATTTAAAAGAGACAAAACATACTGTTAGAAGGAGAGGCTTGTGATGCGACGCTGTGGCAACAAATGAAAAAGTCTCTGAATGTATAAATCAGTCAGTTGTAGTTCTATAGGGATGTTACAAATTTTGTTTCTTCTTTACTTAATTAGTTTGTTTGAAAATTATTATTTTTTTAATTATGGATTTTTTTAACGTCAATATTTTTTTATGATCATTGGCGTCATCAAGTAGCGTTAGTCGTGTGATCATTTATTGTCGCGGTTGTAACGACACGCCGTATATAGAATGAAAATGTTAATAAATATATTTTTATACAAATTAGCTTGTTATTCTTTAAGAGGGGCTCAAAGATCTGAATTTAAGGTATCATTCAAAAACCTTTTCTGTATCCCACAGTTCGACTATTCTGACTGCCTTCACACTATATATCTATACCTATTATTACACTGCATCCTCAAATGCCATAGGTGCTTCAAACAACATCAGTCAAATTTTGATAGAACCTGGCTTTTATTTTCGGTGTCAAGAAATAAATTATAGTGAGACTGGAATGTTTTTACATCGTACCTTCGAAAATAATATTTAAACAGCCCCATATTTTAATTACCGCAAAAAATACTTTTTGATATTAGAATAAATAAATAAATTGATTTATGTGTAATTCCTATATTTAATGGGCAGTTCTACAGTAACGGCTACTATTCATTTCTTAATTACAAGTAACGAGGCGTCACCTAACGTTGTATGTAATTATAGTACCCTATTTAAGGCGCTGTATGCAGTAAAAATAGGTTTTTCAAAAGATTTTTTAGCAAAATCTACACATTTTATAGCAGCAAAAAAAATATATGTTAATCTTGATCGTACATTCTAAGGGAACATTGTTTCCAAAACATATTCTCGATATATTTTCTCGATAGAAAAAAATCATGAAACTACCTCTAAAAGAGAAATTCAAAACCAAAAATGAACGTAATACATCAACAAATCTTAATGAAATTAATATCAGTGGTATAGAATATATTAATAAAAAGGATTGTTGTTTTAATTTGTTGATTGATGTAAGATATTTCTAAATATTAATTTAATTCATTAAAATTAATTCGAACGCGATGGCTAAAACACCGCGTCACCGCGGCGTTGTTTCGGCTCTCTTCCAACTCCACACGTTGAACAGAGAGCGCTGAGGCGCCTTGCTAGATGGACCTATGCCGCTCGTCTTCCGCTCACCGTTACGAAATATGTTCCGTATTTATTTATTCTTGAGGGTTATAATTTTATTAGATCTTTCGAAAACACGAAACTAAAAAATATATATTCACATGTTTCGTATTTTTAATTATTTGTATGAATTAATAACTAAAGCGTAATTTCAATATCTTATCTTGTCATTGATAAGTTTATCAGTCCTATACAAACAGTGTAAAGGCAGGGATGGCAACTTAGGAATTTTCTTCCGAAATTTAGGAATAAAATATGTGGAATGGAAGTTTATTGGGAGGTAAATTTTTATGGGAATATTTTTTTAGGAGTTAAATTTTATTCACATTTTCGAAAAAAACTACACAAAACAACTTATTTAAAAAAAAATTCAGTGCCGTGCTGCTTTGGATGACGTCAGGCCAAGGCCTATGTGTCTGGTATGAATATTTTATGTATTCTAATATTTTTTTTTAATATTGTTTTGATTTTATTCTTAACATATTGTTACGTGTTACGGGTTCGAAGGATTTGGAGAGAAAGACCTGCTGACTCTTTTGAAGACTTTATTCACTAGAACTAGGTCCAACACAAAGCACTAGGTCCAAACACTAAGCACTAACAATGTCCTATTTTGTAGCCAAGTCGTAGGTTTCACTGGTATCGCTCTTGATCACTAGTTTTCGCTCCGAAGTCGCCTCGAAGGTAGCTCAAACTGAACTGTGTTCGCTCGCCTCCCTGCGGCTTTTTATATGGGCCGAGACCGGTTCCGGACTAATCCAGAAAGATCATTCCTGGAACGTACCCGACACGCACGAACATGTTCGTGATTCCGGAAAGTTCGCGAATGTACCCGGTTTTCGAGACTATAGCTCCACAGCAGTTCCTCTAACGCCATCTAGTGTTGAATAGGGGGTTTTATGTCGTCTTTGTTCTTTAGTGGTTTTAATAGTTGACGTTAGATGGCGTTAGTTCCTTTGTGTGTTCATAACAATATTCATTTCAAATGAATTATGTTATATTTGATATTCTTGACCATGGTTTATTTTATCAGATAATCATTTTTCCTTTTCCTATAATATAAAAAAAATCCTGATTTTAAATTTAGAAATTTTAGTCGGTTTTCGAATTGAGTATTATTTTTGAACAGTTGGTAACACTGTGTAAAGGACCATCATTCTATGGGGGTTCACATACATTTTTCTTTGTTATATTTTTTTGTGATTTTCTTTTTGTAGGTATTTTTTTTTAATTTGCATTTAATTTATGTTGATTTTTTAATTTTTCTAAATAATTACAACGAAATATTATTGTATTTGTTGAACGTAGAACGCAACTGTTGGAGAACAATCTATCAGATAATAAACAAAGTTTTCATTATTTAAATTTTTTAACAAGTCTTATATTGTATATTGTTTTTAATTTGTTTTATTAAAATATTTAATTTTTCACCCTAAAACGAAAACTATTCTTGTACGAACACGAAAAATAATTGTTTTATAATTTTTGTATTTTCCACATTTTATCAAATAACAACAAAATAATTAATTGATTAACAAATTAAAATTGGAAAAAGATGTATCAACCATGACGCTCGGACCAATAGGCTACACGATGTCTGCGGAAGGGAACAATATTTCGATTCTAGTTATAATTGTTGTCGTTTATCGATATAAGGAATTTTATCGATAATTTTTTAAATATAATTTCATTGAGGAATTAATTTAACGTAGTAAGTCTTTCACATTTAAAGGATAAATTAAAGATATAAAGTTTAAGAAAATATGTAATAAAAAAGTCGTATTCGTAATTTCTGCCGTGGAGACTATGAAATTGCGTAATTAAACATTAAATCAAAATAAATAATGATTCGTTTATTTATAGTTTTGTTGTAAGAAATGTCATTTGCCTTTATTAATTTATTTGGCCTTAAGATGTATTTTTAAAATAATAATTATTAACTGATAATTTAAAATAATTAACAGGAATGTACGATATTCTACTGGGTTTAAGAGACTTACCGCAACAGTCCTCCTGCAATCTCGTGTCGTGGAGTTGCCTATAGAGAGCCCGGGCAAGTCGGCACAGCGCAGATATTAGAGTTCCGCAGAATATATCGCACAAAGGTCCATAGGTCACTGAGCACAGTACTTCCAGGGTGAAAGAGATCTCGAGAATATAGTGTAATAGCACGCAAAAAACTTAGGTGCGTACGCGGCGATGACAGCAATTCGAATCTTTCACTGACTCGACTGCCGCTAGTTTGTGTGGCGCTAGTAGTAGCCGTAACTCACACGTTAAGGATTGAATTTAGACATAACGGCTGATCGCCAACCCAGTGAAGAAAAAAATAATAATAAGTAAATAGCATTAAGATACTCCAAATTGTGTCATCTTATTAAGTATGTTTAGAATGACTATAAAATTATATGAATTAAACTACTCTTGTTCCAGTACGGAACAAGGAAGTTTTTCTAAAATTGTTGATTGCTTTCTCACACTTTATATTTGTTTGTTTATTATTATTCCTATAATGATATTAAAGTAAAGTACAATCATGGTCTATAAAAGATATTATAAAGATCATCTGTGTACATTTTCTAAAGCCTTCCATGATACTATCGATAGTGTCCTACGGCCCATCACTACACACGAGGTAATGAATGGTCTAGCGGCGCGTCGATGAAACTCGCGCGCTGCGCGCCGCCAAGCGGCGTTACCCCTCCTCCGCTTCCTCATACTTCACCACCCAAATAGTTAAAAATTCACTGCATACAGCGCCTTAATAATGTTTCTTTTCTGCCAAGATAAAAACATTTAGTTTCACATAAATTTACTTAAAATAGAGAAGCTAGCAAAAAGGAGATTGCAAATGAAAATAATTGAGTGCGTTATTTAATATTATTGTTTCTTTTTATGACCTTATTTGATTTAATTTATAAGTCACAGAAAAAATAGCATTACTGTTTAATTCTTACATCATATTCAAGTTTCTTAAAAAATGCAGAAGTTATAATCCATTTTTGTTCAAGTAACAAACTTAAAAAAAATAGAAAACTATGTTTTCACACATTTACATGCACTCATAGTTACTCTTTAGTAAAATTTAAAATTCAAGTGACCTAATTATACATAACAGATATCATGAACATATGATTTTCACCGAAAATTGACTCATCACGATATCTCTGGAACCATAAGGCGTGTAAAGACTTGAAATTTGGTAGGAATATTCCTTTCGCCGAGTAGAAGTCAGCTAAGAACGGATTTTACGAAATGTTACTTGTTGGGTCTGCTAGTACATGTACAATATTATACTATATATTAAACAATCACATAACCATCACCCTTAATATAAATGTTTCATGTCATTATTTTAATAATCAAGCAAATAAAACTATCAATTTGCAGCAATGATTTCTAAAGAATTTACATAAACAAAAAATGGATATCTTTCTTGTGGCTTTTTACAGATGTATTTCTTGTGTTTTTAACGACTATCACAAAATCTGAAAGCTCAAGATATTTGTCCTAATGTAAAATGGGCCACCTTTTTTATAGCTTTTATTGCTTTTGGGCACCAAATCTGCACTACAACCTTCATAAAACATTGGACATATTCCATCTATACTAATTTGCCTGCAGAAAAGGTACATGAATATTTACTGCAATTGAATTACCAGCAGACAGAAGAATAATTAGTATCAGCAAAATAACTCACACACTTTGATTATCTTCAATACACACACAAACAACAATACACTTATATTGTCATTATAATTATCACATTATAATTAAAATGTTATAATTATCACTTACCTAATTTTAATGATTCAAGACTAGCTAATTGAAGGAATGACCCCTGCCAAGCAGGTTGCTAGCCTGGTCTAGGGTTAAATAAGCAAACGCATATAAAATTCGAATATGAATATGTGTTCAATATTGTAAAATGATTTGTACACTACTTTTTGTTTAAGTAAATCTTTTCGGATTCTAAAAAATTTTATGTCTAATATTTAATTAAACTTTCATCATCATTCAAAATGTGTTTCGACAACTCGTCTCAAACTTATAGAGACGTGCGAATGCGAAATGTGAAAGAAACTGAAACGAAAAATATCCCACTTTGTACATTTTATTGAATTTGGCTTCATAGTAAACAAAGTCCCTGTGTACTGTTTGTACATCAAACAATAAATAACTAAGAATCGTCGTAGGGGAAAACGAATGATAAATAAAGTTTTTCAACACTGAACTTGCCAGTCTGCTATTTTTAATTACTTCTACTCTGTCGTAAAAGAGGTAAGCAAGCAAAGCATTTGAAACTGGTGTTTATGTTTGTTTAATAAAAACAAACTAAAAACCAAAATGCAACGCCAATATGAAGTATGAAGACATGAAGTTGCACACACATATTATTTCTTATTGTGACATTGGTAGCTATACAATAAAAATAATAGAATGTGGAACGATTATTAATTATTATTAACACATACCGGTAATTTTGTGCGCTACACTTAGGGCTGCCACCTTTTTTTGAATGAAATGTAGTATTATTTTTTTAAGTTATAAAATGGTAGTGAGCTTTTAATTTGTTATTTTAATTTATGATCTTTGAACTATAAATTACGAATTATTTAAATCCGTATAAAAATTAATTAACTATTCATTTTTAATTAAATAAATAGATACTCTTATTTCTTTTTTGCCTACATTTTACGATTATAGCAGCATTGTACAATAATAATTGATAGTCGGACTTCCCTATTCACTTCTTTATTTTTGTAACCTTTCTTTATTTGTTTGTCCTTAAGAGGTGTAACAGAATCATAGACGCTTTCTATATTGTTATTTTAAGTATAAAATGAGGGCTCTAACAGTGGTTTCCAAATCAAATGGAGGCATTTGTCGAGAAAATGATAGGGATAGAAATTTGACGTTTATTTTAAGAAAACTAATATTTGTCATATAAAACTGATCGACCGTCGTTAATTTCGTTCTGAAATTCCACACGCAGTGGTTACATTCGACTTTATGAAAGTTCCTGATTATAAAAAAGTGCAACTATTGAATGGGCAACGAAAATATAGTACATTTCGTACTATATTATTTTTCTATTTTATACAGGGTGGCTTTTCTAAAGGTGCCCAATTTCACACAGGAGGTTCAGACTCGGTAGTATAATACTTTATTGAAATAAAAGCAAACATTTTTCCAAATTCCAAATTGCTAAAAAACAGAACTCGTTGACAATGCGGTGGTCATTCAATAAATGCGTCGTATACTATTGAAACGAACTTGTGAGCGTGTTAGTTATGAATGATCGCGCGTAAAATGAATGAGTTGCCCATAAATGACACACTTTTTGAGATAAGTGCTACACTACTATACATATTGTGCAATAATGATGCGTAACTTTATAATAAAGTCAAGATAAAATTACAATTTTTCATAAATTATTTTATCATGAATATATGCAAAATAAATAAATAAATATTTTAGAACACAATTTTTACACAACGTTCTCTAATCCCAAACTAAGCAACGCTTGTACTATGAGTACTAGATAACTCACTTAAACACACTTTTCTTTTGTAAATAAATACATTTTACACATATATATGTAATTACCCTGAGAAATACTATGTTCATCACATAACATTTTCGCCATTCGGGTCGTATAATATTGTATATATTGTTATAATATATTCGGGTCGTATATGTATTATACGTAATAAATGTATGTATGTATTTGAAAATAACAATATGTTGTTGACATTGTCATTGACTTCATTGTTCTATAATGATACAAAATCAATTAATTACGGCTTAAAATTTTGTGCCATTGAACAAAATTGAGAAAGGTTAGAACACTTTTAAAAATTCTAACAGGAAATATATGGAATGTCAAAAATTTCATATAGTTATTTCATGGACTATACCATTTTTAATACTTGGTAACTTGTAAAAAAACCCTGAGAGATTTGAAGAGCTCTCACATATTTCAATCCTCATGGTTTTTGTGCATTACTAAAAATACACAAAACAGAAAATCCTATATAATTTGCCTTTGCATTCTTCTGATAGGCCACTTTATTCACAAAATGCTTGTGAGAAAAACGTTACATATGATTGAATCCTGATACTATTGGGCCCAATTGCACCCGTTTGCTTCCTCTTTTCTTAGCAGTTGCTTGTTAAGAATGTATCTAAATCTGTTAATCGGCAGATTTTGACGTTCTAAAGTGCTTGAACAAAGCCTAAATTAAATAAGCCTTCAATCTTCATGTCGTCTTGATAAATTATTAATTGTCACCCGTATTCCATTATATTCCAAAATGGGTCGTATTATGGCGTGCAGGCATGGAGAGCCCGATGGACGTGTCGGGCATGGGGCTGTCGCGCGGCTACGCGTCGCCCGGCGCCTACGCGTCCCCGCGCGCCGTCTACGCGTCGCCGCGCTCGCAGGGCTACTCCCCGGGGCCGCAGCGCTTGGCTGCTACTCCTCAGCCGCAGGTCAGCCCCTACGCAGCTACAAACGGGCCTCTAAATGAGTCTCTGTCTTGTTTACACTAGACATTGGTGGAAAGTCGCGAAATATTGTCGAGGTAGCTCGACTTTAAATAGATTAAAACGCATGTTGAAACAGTGCCGTCAAAAACTGGTCCTCTGTCGCAGCAGTACCCGTCGAGCCCGGCCGCGTTCTCCGGGCCGTCGCCGCCGCGCGCGCCCTACGGCTCGCCGGCGGCCGTGAGCGCGGTGGGCGCCGGCGGCGTGGGCGGCGTGGGCGGCGTGGGCGGCGTGGGGGGCGCCGGCGCGGGCGGCGGGGGGCGCTTCGCGGCGCGCAGCCCCCTGTACGCGGGCAGCCCGGCGCCCTACCGCCAGCAGCCGAGCCCGGCGCCGCAGCAGCGCTTCTCGCAGTCGCCGCACCCGCACCCCTACTCGAGGTCGCCCGCGCCGCAGGTGCGTCACTACCTTTATCACACGACAGTCGGTCTGATCATCATCGTATGAGAACATTGTATTTAGAATATTATATTTTTACGTATTTGTCGCGTTTATTTCATTTTTAATTCCCGACATGTACTTGATAAAAATAAACGCGATAGATCCGTAAAAATACTTTCATTTATGTTTAAAAATGTATGTTTAAGAAGAAGTAAATTGTTGTACGTAATTGTAAAATCGAAAAAGGTATGTACAATTTTATGGAAAATAGTAATAGGGAAGTCTTTGGATAATTCGTATTTAATTAAAATTGTTCCATGTTTTTATTTTTCTAAAATAATTTGAATAAATAGGATAAAGGTCACAAAACACAATAAGGCTGTAGTAAGTCGACAAATTGAAGAGTTATTCCATTCACACATATTTGTACAAGAAAAGGAAGCAATGCCATTCAATATACATAAATAACTTTACTTAATGTTCCTAAACTTGTTCTTAAACTTTGGGAAAGACTGACTCTTTTGCTTTCATTTCCAATGAGACAAGAAGTGAAAATATTTCACCCGCGGATTTCCTCCCGTAACACGAGTATTAACTGCTGCCCTCCCGTTACTCGCACCCCGTAGCGGTTGAGTGTTCTCGAAGTGTTACCGTCCAAAGAAGTGCGTGACGCGCCGGCAGGTGGCGCCGCAGACGCCGTACGCGCGGTCGCCGGCGCCGAGCGGCGGCGTGGGGGGCGTGGGCGGCGTGGGGGGCGTGGGCGGCGCTGGGGGCGTGGCGGGCGCGGGGGGCGCGGCGTTCGGCGCCGGCTCGCCCGCGGCGCTGAGCTACACGGCGTCGCCGGCGACGCCGTACAGCCAGCACAGCTCGCCCGCGCCCTACGCGGAGCACTTCGCGGCGCCCGCCTTCGAGGCGCCCGTGTCGCCGCCCGTGCCGCTGGACTTCGAGCCGCCGCGCGACGCCGCCAGCCCCATGGGCAGCACCGACATGCACGCCGGCAGCAACTCCAACTCCTCGCTCTCCGACTACAACAAGGTCGGTGGAGCCCCTCTACCCCACCTCTCACACCGCCGTTCACGCGTCCGAGTGTACACTAACAGTATATAGTTGAATTATATACCGCAGGAAAACTTTAGTAGGAAACTTCTGTAAAAATAAGTCCATTTTCCATTTTGATCCATTGACAAAAGACAATGGTTTTGTTTCGCATTGTCTCCTATGCAGTGGACACGTAATAAATGCTTGGGTTTGATGTTTATTCAATGAGATCGCCATTCGCCTTCGTCGGGTGCTTCTTCGGGGGAGAATAGAGGAAACATATCCATGGTATGCCGTGTGTAAGTGCCGTAAGTGCCGCCTGAATTGAAACAGTTTGCCGCAATTTTTCCGTATAAAAACATAATGTTTCAGCTCCACATGTTCTTTTCAAGTGTTTTTCTTAGTAAAGGCCCAAGAATCTGTAATTATCAACTTTGTTGAGAGTGGACTGGACTTGCTCCTTTTTATCACATTTCACTTTATTACTGTATTGTCTGGAAAGTCATTTATGTGTATCAGAAAAAGCAATGGACCTAGAATGCTACCCTGAGGCACCCCAGATTTATTTATCAGGGGTACTGATCTAAAACGTTACCTAAAAAGATTTTTTGGTAACGTTTTGTCGGTGACAAGTTTTGTACTGGTCTCTATTGGTAAAATAGGTCGATAAGCATTATTTGATATGTAAAATGAGAGAGAATCTGTAACTGACTGCAGACGAGCGGGGGCGGCGGCGAGGCGTCGCCGGGCGTGGGCGCGGTGGGGCCGGTGGCGGGCGCGGGCGGGGCGGGCTTCGGCGGCGCCTTGTACGACGGCTCGCCCAGGCTGCCCTACCCGCCGCCCGACAAGCCCGACTACTTCCCGCAGGACCAGGGTGAGTTGTTCAAACTGGCTAATGGGAGACGTGTTAAAATGTTAAATCTCGAGAAGAAAGTGACGTCGTTAAAAAAATAAACAATAATGAGTAATGAGCGTAGTTTTCAAGTAATCGTTAAAAATTATTATTAAGTTATACAGGGAGGCTTTGCTGAGTGTATCCATTTATTTATTAAATTCTAGACATAAATAAGATTCATATTTAAAATCACTCTTAATTAATTAATTGCATTCATTTGAACTTATCTAAAAACGTGCGTGATTTATGGGCAACTCATTTACTTGCGCGATCATTCATAACTAACACGCACACAAGTTCGTTTCAAAAGTATACGACGCATTTATGAATGACTACCGCATTGTCAACAAGTTCTGTATTTTAGGGAATAGCATTGCAATTTTTTTGGGAAAAATTTTGTTTTTATTTCAATAAACGATTATACTACCGAGTCTGAACCTCTTGTGTTAGTTTGGGCACCTTTAGAAAAGCCACCTTCTATACAGCGTGTCGTTACCATCGCGACAATAAATGAAGACATGTCTAACGCTACTTGCGAATAATCATAAAAAATATTAACGTTAAAAAATCCATAATTAAAAAAAGTATTTTTCAAACAAACTAATTAAGTAAAAAAGAAACAAAAATTGTAACACTACAATACAATACCTATACATCTACAACTGACTGATTCATACATTCAGAGACTTTTTCATTCGTTACTACAGCGTCGCATTATAAGCCGGAGAGGCTTGTAATGCGACGCTGACAGTATGTTCTAACAGTATGTTTGGTCTCTTTTCAATTCATTCAACCTATTCATATGCTTTGTGACCTTTACAAATGAACTTTACGTTACAGTTTTAACGTAAGGGTGTTCTAAAATTCTTTGTTTTGGAAAATTTAATAACTCGGTAAATATTGATGTTTAAAGAATGTAAATGTTTAATACAATTTTAAAAAGTTATCCTCTATATGTGTATTCATTTATTGTCGCGATTGTAAAGACACGCTGTATAAAACTTAGAAAATCAAAAATATATATATATAATTTAATTCTTATTGTACAAATGATAAAAATGTATATTTTATTCTATTCCAGGCAATAGTATGTCAGAGAGTCCGCGGTTAGACCAGATACATCAGCATCCCTCCATGTATCCTAGCAATTTTAATAGGTCAGTATGCTATCCATACAAATATAATACGTCAGTGTGATACTGGGAATCTCTTTATCGATATCTAATGAGAACCCGTCGTCGGCAGGTCACCGAGCGGTGGCGAGGCGGCTTTCTCCCCGTTTCGCGGCGACGTACACCACGAGCCGCACCACGAACACCACGACCACCACGACCATCACGAACATCACGATCACCACGACCACCACCAGTCGCCAGGTATAACAAAGATCTAAATTAAAATAGTTTTCAATTTATTCAGTTGTTACTTAAAATGAAATATTTTCACCTTGTTTGCTTTTAAAGACAAAAGATATAATACGTACTTACGTCCGGCAGGCTCCCCGGGCGAGTTCCCGGCGGGCGTGGGCGGCGCGGGCGGCGCCGTGGGCGGCAAGCCGCAGGACGTGGCCTCCAAGTCGCTGTCGGGGCTGGAGTCGCTGGTGGACCAGATCCCGTCGATCGCGGAGGGCGGCGCGGGCGCGGGCGGCGGCGGCGGCGCGGCGCCCGACGCGGCGCCCGTCGCGCCCCTGCCCGACTACGCGCCGCCGCTCTACCCGCCCTACGGCGCCTACGGCACGCCCGCCTACCCCAACAACGGGTGAGCCGCCCTCCCGCGACCGCTCACCCCTCGCCCGCCCGCCCGCTCACCGGCGCCCTCCCACCCGCAGGTATGGCGGCCCGTTCGTGGGCTACGGCGGCGGCTGGGGCGGGCAGCTGGTGCGCGGCTACCTGCCCGACTGGCAGTACGGCTACGCGCCGGCGGTGCCGCCCGCCTACCCGCCCTACAACGCGCCCTACTACAACGGCTACCCGGCGCCGCCGCCCGCGCACCACCAGCAGGTAGGGCCGCTGGCCGAGCTGAGCGACTGACCGCTACTCGTAAGGGTCACAGTTGAAAGTAATGCCCATGGCGCGACGCCGGCGCTCGACGTCGGTCGTCGCCGGCGGGGCGCGCAGTGACGGCGTGTGTGTCCGCAGACGCACTACCTGTCGGCGCCGCCGCTCATCGACCTGCACAAGAACGGCGAGCACGCGCCCTCCGTGCCCTCCGTGCCCTCCGTGGGCTTCGGGGGCTTCTGCTAGGCGCTAGGCGCCAGGCGCCGGGCGTGAGTAGCCCCTCCCGCTCGCCCCCTCCCCCCGACACAGCCCCTCGCTCTCGACGCTCCTAAAGCAATCCTTAGTCGTCTAATTCTTCCACTACTTTCTTTCTCAACAGATGAGCTTATTTTGTAGGGTTTATTTGTAAATATTGTATGTATTTATTTCGGTCCATCACATCCTATGTTTTTTTTTTTTTTGATTTGTGTATTAATTTAACCGAATCGCTATTCGCTAGAGACATCACAGTTTTGGTCGCTCTTCAATGGAACGCTTGTCTCGCGTTGTTTGTTGTATGTTTTCCTAATTTCGGGTGATCGTTTACTTAAAAGTAGGGCGCCGCGCGGACGGGGCCGGGACCCGACCCGATCGAGTCTGTGATCCTCGGGGCGTGTTCGGAATCAGGAGCGGGGAGTCTTGCCAATGAAGCGTTTCGCGTTCTAGTCAGTTGCTAATTCGTGTCGGCTAGTCAAATTTAAAAGAGAAGTGGCATCGCGCCCCCCGGCCCCCCGTCGCCGCGACGCGCGTAATATATTTTTATCTAAGTCACAAAAACGGCCTATGAGATGTATAATGTATACTTTTTTTATTTAGACTTTAGTTTTACACGTTACGTGGAGGTGGTGAAGCTGTTTACGATTCAATTTAAGCATTTTATACATACGTACACTAAGTACTTATTTTTACGGCCATTTCGTCGTGGCGGTCGTAGACCCGCGCGCTGTGTTGCCATTGCCATGGACATCCTGCATTTTACTAAACGTTACCGAATCACTTACATAGCTTCGGATCGCTAGTGATGACATAGCATAATTTTACATAATAATAAATTAATACATACGTATATTTTATCGATCGCCATCGTACTGTAAGGCTACTTGTTGTATGGTCGGCGGTGCCCTCTCGTAGTGTCGCGTTGTTTTGTTGTTGGAACATGACGTATGAAGTGGTGAACTCTTTAGTATGTTGTTGATGTTTTTTATTTTCCACTGTCCGCGGTGTTTTTGGTGGTGTTTTCGCGTTAACGGGTTCTATTGTGAGACGGCGTATGGGTTCTTTGGCGTTATTGAAAAACTTAATTCGGGCGTACTTGGAGTTGTACAAAAATTCTTATTGGTAACGGTTAATTTGCACAAACGACGAGGTGGAACTTAATTGTAAGGAGAAAACGAAATAACATACGTAAGAAAGACATATACGTTAATGGTAGGTTTACTGCAAAGAATTTATATGTAGTTGTAAATGGGCCTCCGTCGGGCTCGGCCGCTTTTCCTACGGCTCGTGGATGTTGGCTGTGGCACGGATTGCTGGCAAACGTAGGTTCAATTCGATTTCATACCGCTCTGCTATTACCCCCTCCCCTCCCCCCTCTCTCATCGTTAAATGTTACTTATGAATGAATAGTGGCCAGTCGCTTAATCGATTTAAGCTTTACGTCACGTTTGATTCGATAGTAAGTTGTTCCAATTTTCTATTTCTTTTTCTCGATAAAAATGAGTGGGGATGCCCGAAACGATCAATAGAACAAAATGTACTCACCAGTAGAAGTAAACCGAGTAAGTAGACAAATATTTCATAGTTACGGAGATAGAAGACCACGAGCGTGGGGTGCAGACGCATAAGTTGTGCTTCGGATACGGCAAAGGAATAAGAACGCATCACTGCTCGGTCCCTGCGCCCATTAATTTATTTCGCCTCATTCGAAAACGGAAAATGATAAGTTTAAAAAAATGAAATCAACAGGGTATTTAAGATTGCTTAAGATTATTATTTTATATTTATTATTAATTTTTATTATTTTGGGCGCGCGATCTCTTCGCCCTATCATGGTTCACGTTATTGTGTACTGATTTTTTTTATCGATGCACGGGACGGGCTGCCACTGGAATGTAGGTGTATGTGTTTGATGGAAGGTTTTTTGCCACTTATTTCATACCTCCCTGTGTATTGTGATCGGAATGAGTGATGTTGCCGTTGGTGAGAGTTGGGACGGTGGCAGCCCGCCGGGCGCTCCCGAATCACTTTGCCTTTGTACATAACGAGTGCTTTATTACGCTTTTTTGATATTATATTTTATTTAAATCTACAATTACAATCATATCGACTATACTTTCGCTTCCGTATTTTAATACGTTACTCGTGTACCGCGCGTTTAGCTAGGGCCCCGATTTAGTGTTGGCGCGACGCGGTGCTCTCCGGTTATAGTTTTATAATGACATTTATTGTTGGTTCGTAAAGAGAGGTGGGAAAGTTTTCGAAGAATTCCGTTAAACTTTTGTTGATGAGTTGATAATAAAATCAATAAACATCCCCAAGGTATTCTATTGTATAAAATAATAAAGAGATGGTTCATTAAATTCATTATCGTAATGAACATATCTGTAATAGAAAATTGTATATTCCTCTTTTAATTTTTCCATCTCTTTTTATAAAGTTTATATTTGTTGATGGATCGTTATTTTTACGTATGATTCAACAGATACATTCAGCCTATACTTGATGAATGTTAAGTTTTTACGTGATTGTTGTAATGCAGTTTGCCGTTCGCAAGCTGTGTCCCAACGACAGACGGCGTGTTAACTGACGTAGGAGGGCCCTGCAGAGCGCCGCGCCGTGGCCGGCATCGTGTCGCCCCGTGTCGTTTCTCTTTGTTTCACGATAGTGCGTACGACCGCGTGCGTGGGTCCGACTTTCCTATCGGGTGCGTTTGTGTGATAAGCGTTAGGAGTGGAGTGTGGCCGGTCGGTGAACCGTAGCTTAGTTTAAGTCTCTATCAACGAGTTAGTGTTAGTGTGTACATTTGCGGGTGCACGCACACGTCCGCGCGCGAGCGTGCGCGTGCGCGTGTGTGTGCACGCCCGCGCCGCGCCGTGCGTTGCGCCGCCCTTCCCTCCCCGCCCCTCCCCCTCCCGGTCCCCCACCCCCCTCCCCCCCGCCAAATGACGCGCTAGTCGCACGCGGCGGCGCGGCGTTTCCTTTAGGGTCGACCAGTGCACGCATTGAGTCGCTCAACTATTGTACAGTATGTATATTTTTGTAAAATTCATTCAACCTCGTGGCAATATTATATAAAATTTTAAAAATCTATCTCTAATAACACTATTAATTATCTAGTACAATTGTTATCGCATTGATTTTGAGCCGGCCTGCCCCTCCGGCCGACGGTTCGATGTTTACGTTAGACAATACCCAATAGTGACCGTGCGGGTGGTCGCACGCGCCCCGCCCCGTGCCAATGGAGGCCCTCCGGCGCGCGATCTGCAGAGCAAATAACCCTACGTGGTAGAATCCAATCGAAGCAATAAATATTTCGAGAATAAATATTTCGAGAAAAAAGATAGTAGTGACACATGACCGCTTCACGTGCAATCCTCTTTACTCGCATTACATTATTAGAGACTTACTTAAATTTTAAACGAGTCGCTCCGTGCCTCCGGACTGGTGACGGAGTTCGAATCTAGCTCAATTTTATTGATACTTAATTATTGTAATTATAACTATATTATTATTATTATTATATTTTGTACTTGCTTGTTATCCGCCGTTAACTTTTAATAAGAGTCTGTCCCCTTGCCTTGGCTGGCCGAAGTGGGGCCCGTCACTTGGAGCATATCATCGGAGTATATTTACAGTTGTGCGTTCAGTTGTGAGTCGCGAGTTGTGGCGCGGCCGTCGCCGGCAGCCAAGGTCCGACCCCGGTCCCCTGATCGTCGCTAGAGTACTCAAATAACTCGCATTTCAATTACGGTGCTTGTTTCTTATTGGAGCGGACGCCGGCGCCGCCCAGGCCCGCACCCTCCCCGGTCAATTATGAGAGTGGGCCGGCCGCCGCGTCCCGTTGCGCATATAAAGTACAATTTATCTCTATTATTAATTAATTAATTAATTATATTGTACGTACACTGTTGTCACTGTTGAGCGATGTCGCATGTTCTCATTTAATCGAAATCGGTTTGTGTGTCCGTTTATATGATATATACGCTAGCGGTAACGCAGTTGATATGTTTGTACAGTTTTTAACGATACTTCTCGTAGCGAACTAAGCAAGAAAATATTTTAGTATATTGTAAGATCTAATCGAATTACGTCTTAGTGTATTATAAAGTACTCGAGGTTTTTCCAAAATTTCTTTTCACTTTGTATGGGTCCTTGTGTTTTACGTTTGGATTAAATAATGAATGTCTCTTCTGAAACTGAATCCGTGGAATGTAACTAGAAATTAAACAGGAAGAATTTTAAATAATAAAATACAACATTAATACTATTTAAGTAATGTATTATAAAATAGCAGTAAGGTAAAAAGTTATTAACATTGTATGGAAAAATTGTGACAAAATTATAGTCATTTGTAATATTAAAGTGTTGTTTTATTGCTTACACCCCAAGCAGTCAACGTATGTGGCTCCTTTGCCCTCCCCTACTTACCCATATCCGAACAAAAACTCCTACTAAAATCAACATATTTATTGTTAATAAGAAAATGTAAAAGTTGATTAAAGTTAGTATTATTATTATATACTTTATACCATAAATGTACACCATAAATAATTTCATACAGTTGATATAAAATAAATCGTAGTGGAGGCGGTCTATCGCTAAAGAGCTATCTCTTACAGACAACCTACCTTAGGACAAGGACAACTAAACTTATGAATGGTGGGAGGTGGTGTGCTTAGTAAAGTTACTTGTAACAAAATATATTATAATAAACATAAATAAATATATGAGAGAATAATCTGAATATTGGCAATGTAAACTATGGATCGAGAGGGAAAGATAATGATTCTTAACGTAATATTTTAATTTTTCTAGCGTCTGTACAACCAAGTCTTTGCTGAGGAAGTTCAGTTCACTTATTCCACAAGCAGATTATTTTTTATTTTATGCGAAAAGTTGTCAAACGAGCAAACGGTTCACCTGATGTTAAGTGAATACCGCCGCCCATGGACATCTGCCACACCCGAGGGTTACGGATGCGTTGACAACCTTTTGAAAATTGGACTCCGGCTACCTCAATCACCACACGAAACGGGAAAGTATTTGTCATACTTCCACTTTACGCCGGTCCTCTGTGAGGTCGTGTACATACCCGGACGAGCCTGCCCATTCGTTCAACAGCCGAGGCTGCTGCGTTGCCCTGCCACCAATGAAGTGCAACATGACAGCCTCTATGGGTATCATATAAAGACTGCTACACAAAAATCATGCCATTTCGATTAACCATATCAGTACCTGTCTTTTTTTTATTGGGAAATCGTGTATTTTGGAAATTAAAAAAATAAAAATAAAGAAAGCAATGATCTGGTATAGAAAAAAAGTAAAAAAAAAGAAAGCGAAATGATATTTTTTTGGTATAGTCAAAAAAAGTGAAAACAAAAAAAATAAGTGTCTGATATGCAATCTAATTACACTAAATTGGTGTAATTTCAGTGCCTCATTTTCGGTGCGCTAGTGTCATCTACCTCGATATTTAAAAAAATCTAAAATAAAAGTAGCTTAAGTTACTCCTTATTACATCAGCTATCTGCCGGTGAAAGTCCCATCCAAATCGGTCCAGCCGTTTCAGAAATTAGCCGGAACAGACAGGCAAACATTATAAAAAAATTATTTTAATATTACAGACACTCCAATTTTATTTATCTGTATAGATATCATTGTCTATCACTGTCACTGTAACTTTTTAAAGTGCTAACATTTTAATATAAATGTTATAAGAACATTTTATATTGCTTCATACAAGTTTCCTTACAAACTATTATACTACGCTAGTAAAAGTGGGTTCATATTTTTCAATTTTTATTTTATCTTTATTTGGTATAATTTTGTAACGTCAAATACTTGTCACCAACTGTCAACACTGACAATAGACATTTTGAATTCATTTAAGTGAAATTATTATATCGTGTGGAAATTATTAAATATACTGGAAAACATAATTTAAAATACTCTTAGCATATTAATGATTAAAATAACTAATAGTTTTAATTTTTGTTAATGTATGTGATTTAATTTGAAAGTGTTCATAAACTATTCACAGAATAAAAATGGTTTGGGAAACTTTATTTTGATAGCTTTGAAACCATAGACATATTTAGTTGTCCGACCGAGACAGAGGTTCCGAAAAGATCGGTGGATTGCCTGTAGAATTCGGTGTGGATTGAGATGTCGGATATCGGCAGCGGTGACGAAGGAATTTCTAGTCAGAGTACGTATTTTTTTGAAGCGGTGCAACTTTCAAGACGCTTTACGTTTCGCGCCGTTTTGATAAATCGCGTCGGAGGACGTTCACGGTTGTGCTAACGTCCAAAAGTAAATATTTCATTGTTCCCGTTTCAAAATGGCGATTTCGGGTTTGTTATATCTCGAAAATTGAGGCCTCGGAGGGTTCCTCGTGTGGAATCGGACAGCAGCGGGTGACGGTGGGGCGGCCCGCCCGGTCCGGTGCTACGGCCGGTGGAGGTTGACGACCTATCGATTTTTTTGCCTGCAACCTCTCATCGGGCGGGCCGGTGTCGGCCGCTGGCACCTAGCTGCGGCCGCAGCCGCTAGCTCGTGACAGCCGTAAGGCCTCACGGGCTGCTCCTCGGCGCGCCTTTGTCGCCGACCAGGCCTGCGCCGCGCCACCGTGACAGCTGACCGCGCGCCGGCATCATGGCAGGTCAGTGGCCGCGCCTACGATTAAACTCGACTTCTTGCCCACTGACCTCACTTATCTCTGTTGCTATCCAGCCGCTATCAAGATCCTCGCCTAAGCATTAAGCGTTGTTTTCTAACTTTTCACTTTGAAGTTCCACAGCTGTTTAGCTGTCAAGATAACCTTAGTGTTGTGATCCTTTGTTATAAATCGATATAACAGCAGTGTGTGATTTGTGCCAAGAAATGTGTTATGTTGTGTAATAGTTTAAACTTAAATTATAAAATGTTTGTGTCATGGGACAAAGGATTTGAGACAAAGGAAATCTTAAACATTTGTATGTGTGTTTATGTTTTATGTGCAGTGAAAATAAGACCATCCAACAACCTTGAAGGTCATGGAATCAACTAAAATAGTGTTATATGTAGCTGTTTTATATTGGTAAATTTTGTTTTTTCAATATTTTAGTGTGCTCTGAATACAAGTTCATTTTATTTAGTGAATATTAATCAGTAAGTTGTGGATTGATATTATAAAATTCATTATTGTTAACAAATTAAATGTGATATGTTGACTTTGCCTGGATCTAAATTTAATCATATTAGTGTCTTGATATATTAAATAATATATGTTTTATGTTAGTGTTGACAGTAAATGATATTTTATTGACACTTTCTATCATTTATCATAGTATTAAATTAGCCTATAAAAATATACACTGAAGGAAACCTCAAAAGATCTTTTTTTAATTTTTAAATGCTTTTGTGGTCATCATAAATATTTGAAACGTAAGAAACCATTTTCAGTATTTGTTGTTGCTTGGGATCTGACCTTATTTTGTTTGTGTTTTCACCACTGTTTTTATTTAATTGGATTGTATAAGAGGATAAGTACATCTTATCTACTTATACAGACAGAAGCTATAAATATTTATATTATAATATATTATAATAAATATAAATATTTTTGGAATCATGTCTGATTGTCACTAATATATATCTTTTATGATTTATTGTTTTTACTATTAGTTCTACTCACTATTTTCCTCATCAACAAACATTTATATCATTCTTTTTCAATAGTATCCTACTTAAATTTTATCTACAATAAATATTATATTTTTTCTAATTATAGTGGCAGATATGGTTTCCCTACAGATACTTAATATTTGTAAGTTAAAAACATTCCATGTTCGTTGTTAAAGAAATAACCTTAATTTTTTATTTCGTTTTTATTACAAAGTACAAGAGGTTAAAATAAAATTTGGTTGCCTTTGTATATAATATTGTTCTTAAAAATTATCATTTTTTTATTTAAAACTTGTTCCTAAGAAATTTTTATCATGTTTAGATTATTAGACAGTTTTTTATACTTATCTAGATGCAGATTTTTCTAAATTCTGTATATTTTTAAAATGAACCTTTTGAAGAAGAGTAACTACCTACTATTCTTAAAAAATCTTAAGCAAGTTATTTTTATGGCTTATTCTTTAGTTTAAGGTTGTCAGTCAAATTGCATTGACAAAATTATTATACCAACTATTTTCTGAATATGATATGTGAAATGCAAATACAACTGTATCACATTGGTGTTCTTTGTTCAGTGATAGCTTCATATGATACAAACTAAACTGATGGAGACATGGACAAACTGTCTATCACGGAACTCGACTACAGCCAAAAAATGTAGCTGCATGGTAACTTTCCAATGTTTTCCTAATTGTTTATGCATTATTCCTTTCTTTGTACAAATTATTTGCTTATGTCTACAGTTACATTTCTTCATCGCTTGTGGCGCACATCTGATTTTTCTTGGAGAATTACTTTTTAAACCTACTACTGGAAATAATGCAAAAAAACTGAATCGAAACTTTTAATAAAATCAATTGTTAGAAACAACAACATAATTTTCTCTGAATCATTCTCAAGTTACAAGACAATATAAATGCCATTAGATATGTTATCCATTACGATAACAAAAAATATAAATGTATTGAAACCACACTGTATTAAAAATATAGTTTTCTTTTTGTTTACAGCCAGTTAGCCTTCCTTTGATTGATTTGGTTTTATTTGCAATTTCATCAGACACTTTTTATGAAATATTAAAATAATACTTCTTACGAAACATTCTATAACTGCTATAAAACAGTTTAAAAAACATAACTTTTACAGAGTTCTTTCATATAAGTATGATGAATTAACTTACTCCTCGACTAACTTGTTTCTTTGCCTAAGTTTGTTTATACTTAAAATTTAAGAGCTTTTGATTCACAAATATAATCTTGCGTATTGTAGTGCTATCAGTACTGCACAAGTTTCTTTTTCTTTTGTAGTTGATATAATAATTTAATATATTTTTTGATTACGCTAATATGTTTTTCTCCGCAACTAATGTGAATCTCCATTCTTGTTCCCAATTTCCATGCTTATATCAAAGTTATTTTTTTTTTCACTTTTCCAGGCTAATGTTGTACAGTTCCTTCCCAAGCTAAAGGCCCATTTACACGATACCATTTTCTTGTACATACAAGAGCAATAATTGAATGCAATAAATTGCGCGCAATAATTGTTTAGACCATTTGTTGTTTAGACCATGCAACTCATTTATTGCTTCTATTTAATTGTATACAACAGGCAAGAAACTGGCACCATGTAAATGGGCCTTAATTGTGAAACTTGAAACAACTCATCATCATCATTACCATAAAACACCCTAACATTTACATTTTTCAATATCACTAAAACAATTGTTTCCTTAAATTTAATTTAGGTTTTACCTTAAGAAAAGTTATTAACACGTTAACTGCCATAGCCTAATTTTGATGACGGCATTTTCTTTTTTTTGTTTTTGGTGTTATATTGACATCAACTATATCAAATGACTGTTTTTTATTTATTTTCGATAATTATAACGTAAAATAGAATTATAATAAATATTGTCAGCTATATGTGACTGACGAAGCCCAATCGGGAGAAAATATAGCAATTGCGCCATGTCAGGCATTTTGTCAGGCATCGTATAATAATCTACGCAACCGCCCTTCGCCTGCCGCCTGCCGCCACTATATTTTCGCGGGAAAAAAGTTCGCTGCGTGGCTCGGCTATTCGAACCAAAGTACCTACGCGTGTCATAGGTCATTCCTTGCAAGTTGCTACCTGTCCGGGGCCTCTCAAATGCGTAGGTACGGCATTTATTTAGTCGCTTTAAATTTGTTGCGGAAGGAACTGCATGAATCCGTCGCTTTAAAATAAAGTTTTTGTTTTTGTCGATAACTTTTAAATAAATTAAGTAAATAATGTCTATTTTTGATAATACGTGTGATTTTGAATTATCGTTGACTGATATCCAAGCAATTGACGAAATAGAAAAACGATTTACTCAAAGAGATTCCCCGCTGTTAGATATTCCATATTCTGGTGAATTATGTGACGACACGGAATATATTTTGCCTAGGAATAGAAACAGGAAGAGGTGTTATGTAATTGACAGTGATGATGAAGATGAGTATACTAGACAGCAGGTTAGCAGTGTTAACACAAGGATTGAGAAAGATTTTTGGCGTGAACCAACGGGTAAGCAAAGAAAAGTTATTCCTTTTACAGAGTGCCCTGGCTTGAAACCTTATAGCTTGAGGAGTTTAATGGTACATTCCAAGCCAGAGGATTTCTATGCTTTGCTAGTGCCGGACAGCATGTTTCATAATATTGCTATAGAGACTAACCGCTATGCCGCTCAGACAATTACTAACCTTAGTTCAAAAAAACAAATAAAACCAGGATCACGATTGCTTAGTTGGACCGACACAAACCAAGACGAGATGAAGAGATTTTTTGGTTTAATTTTATTCATGGGTATAGTCAGATTGCCAAAGCTAGCTGATTACTGGTCAACAGATCAAATGATTTGCCAAACTTTCCCGCGAAAAATTATGCCGCGGAACAGGTTTGAAATTTTGTTACGAATGGTGCATTTTTGTAACAACAATAACCAAAGATGTGGTGATCGTCTGTTCAAAATACGAGACTTGATTGATACTTTGAATCTCAACTTTGAAGCGCACTATTATCCCCAAGAAAATCTCTGTATTGATGAGTCTCTGGTACCATTTCGAGGACGCATTATGTTCCGTCAATATATCAAATTGAAGAGGCACAAGTATGGAATCAAAGTTTTTAAATTGTGTACTAACTCGGGCTACACAAACAAAATTCAAATATACGCGGGCAAGAGATGCGAAACCGAAAATACAACCCCAACTAATGTTGTAATGTCACTTATGGAAGGATATCTCCAAAAAGGCCATACGTTATATACCGATAATTGGTATACTAGCGTTAATTTAGGACGCAAACTGTTAGAGAATGAAACTCATCTTGTGGGCACATTGCGTAAAAATAGAAAATACTTACCAAAAGACGTTATAAACGGAAAGATAAAAAAAGGAGAGTTTAGAGCTAAAGAAAATGAAGATGGTATTACATGCATGAAGTGGAAGGATAAGAGGGATGTTTATTTACTATCTACGAAACATTCTATTGGATTTACTAGGACTTACAAAAGAGGCAAAG